GGAAACAACAGTTTACTACCAGCTGAAGTGAAAGAACAGAACGATCACCTGATACTCAAGTCTTGAGCATTTAGTCATAAATGATAATTAATTTGTGGGCTGGTGCCGACGGTGGTGGTATCCCCCTTCCCGTGTGTGTTGGAATCCTGGGTTTTTTTTGTGTTTGATCCCTCACGTGTGTGTGTGGTTGTGTGCATTCACCTGGTGACCGTCCCCTGGGACCCACTCCTTCCCCGTCGACACTCCCTGGTGGTAAGCCCGCTCTGAACAGTTCACTCCTTTCCCCTTTTTAATAATACAGTTGCTTTTAGTGAATTTTATTGTAATAAAGATCCATTATTGCCTTATCGCGGAACCACGTCTCTTGCCTCGTTGTGTACTGAACCTGTGTGCCTCTGAAGTAGCGACAGAGGTAGAACGAATCCTTGGGTGAAATTCCCAAGGTGGCGTTGTCGGGAGTCGCTGAGCCGTCAGGTGAGTTTGCACCTGCTCTGGCTCCAAGTGCCGCCACACTTAGATTATTCCAGAGCAGCACATTAGCAGAGTCACCACCAAACTCAAATTCATATTAATTCTTTTATAAAACTGGTTTTTAAATGATCCCAGACCTAATACAGAACCGATCCCATAGCTTTGCTGAATTACACCTCTAACACGATATTCTACTTGTGTACATTTTTAATATTTGAGGACATTCTGGACTTTACTCAACAAAATGACCCGTGTTATTCAGTCGACCTGCTGCTTGACTTCACACAGTGGATGCCTTTCTCATCATGGAATGTGCTTTCTTTATCTCTCCAGTAGAGGGCAGTAGAGGCAGCTTTATATTACATGTGGATTATTTTTAAAGAGAATATTTTACACTTTTAAAGGGATGTATCAGCAAAAAGGCATCCTGACTTGAACATTGTGCTGTTGCAAAGTCGATCCTAGTGGGGAAAGAGTCTTGAGTGTGTCTGAAAAAACAAAATCTGATGGAGGAGACTTAACACTTAAGACCTACTACACCCTGCCTTGCCTTACAATTCTGTTTACTGAGCAACCAGTCCTGTATTGCACGTGCACTGCATTTCGCAATTGAAACAGGGATTTAATATACTTCAAGCAATTCAGGTCAGACTACTTTATGTTTTGAATGGATTCGTTGCACATGGCTGCACTAAATGGGTATTTAAGAAACAACATTGCTTGAAAGCTCAAGCAGTTTATGCAACAGGAATTAGATAAAATTCTCTGCAGGGAGTGGACAGAGTTGGACTAACCGAAGATGTGAGGAAACTTTAGCTGACTGAAAATTTGTCTTTCTTCATGAAGAGGATGCCACGGTGACTTTATCCACTTTACGGTAACATCAGTAAATTGTTCAGTTAAACATGATTAGCACGTTAACACAAAACTATTTCAGAGATAGAAGAAGAAATAACATCATGTTGTTTCCTCCGTGGAAATACAATTAGAGAGAACGATTCCTGTCATCTGTTTATTTGTGCTGCAGGATATGGGCCTTTGAGTTCAAATTGAGTTAAAATCCACAGATGAAAATTATCTGTGTTCTTTTCCCTTTGACAAAGGCATCAGAGTCGGCTAAACAAGGAAATGCTTGGGAGCCACTCCGTTGCTTTATTTTACTACAGAAAGGTCAGTGAAATACCTGATACCCAAGTCCAGATCCGCCGGCTGTTTGTTTGTCTCTGCGTAACTTTTCGTATGATGTGAGCTGATTATTTTTTGCGTTTCTAAATGGTGGAGATCGTTCCTGTTGGATTTAAGACTGACATTGTCTCCTTTTAAAACACCTTTTATAATGAGGCCTTCTCTTCACTGGTTGTTTTTTCTGTTCTTGCACATTTAACGTTGTTCTTGATCCATTTTTTCTATGTTGGTCTGCTTGTTCTTTTTACTCTTATTTTCACTCACGGCTTGAGTTCAATTTATTTTGTAATGAGATGTAATTGTGAAGCCCTTAACCCCAACAACACCAAACCTACCATCAAGCATGGTGGTGGCAGTATCATGCTCTGGGGCTTTTTGCCACCAGGGAAACTGGTGCTTTACACAAAGCAAGTGGAACAACTTCTGACATGGAAAAAAAAACTTGCATCCATGCATCCATTTCTTAAAAAACATTCGTCCTATGTCTGCTTTTCGTTAGTCAACAGCTCAAGAGTGTCCGTAAGTCGTTTGTTTTTTGGGGCATGCTACATTTTTAGCAACTCCCAAAAGGTTTCTCCTCATTCTCTTCTCCATCCTGTCAATGAACAGGGACGTAGCAATGGTTCCCTAGTGGTCTGTTTCCCATCTGGCCTTGTTGGTGGATGTAGGGGTGAGGAACAGGAAGCTGAGGGTGAGGAGGAGCAGGAGTGTGAGGCACAGCAGAGATGTTGCTGACCTCTTGGCAATGGACAGGTGGCTGGTGAGGAGACAGATGGTGAGACTGACTGTTTGAAGGCATGATGGCACCAACAATTTGTACATAATGTTATTTCTTTTCATCATAAACATATGTTTATATTACAATCACAGTTTCCAAATGTATGTCTGTCTGTTCTACAGGCGTTCATCAAAAGAAATATTTGTGTATTTCTCTTGGATGCAGATAATTACAGCAAGAAAAACAGTAAAATAAAATTTTTTTAATGAAATTTAATGCTTTTTTTTGGGACAGGCTGCAGGATTGGCACCCACCTGTGCTGTGTTGCTGCCAGTGTTCCTCAGGTCATCCAGGTTAGTCAGCCCCAGCTTCCACCTCTGCCATGTCCTCTTTATCTCTGCTTGCACCTCCAAGCAAAGGATGAGCAACAGGCAGTGAACCAAGAGAGAAATAGGGTCATAATGATAGGCACATTTAGCAACAGTGGATAAATGAGAAATAAAACAAAAAGTTTTAACAACACCAAGAGTATCCGTAGTAAATATGAACATCATAACGTTTATCATTGCAGGTGGAGGACCAAACACAAAATGTCAAAATTTACAAAGGACAAGCTTGAAGGCAAAATGTCCTCTGCTGAAGACAGAGAAATAGTTTCACAGCAGAAAACACATTTTTTAATGCCTATTAGGTCTCAGTGTCATTTCTCTAATATCTACACTTGGTTAAGGTTAAGCAGAAAATCTTTGCATTTCCCAAATTTTAACTGTGTGCCCATGGCAGGCCTAATTATAAAGTGCAATTAAATTTGTTTTTTGTAGACATTTTATGATGTTTTATTTTTCTACAGTATTTTCTTCTTTTGCAAGAATCTGTGCAATATCAGTGTTTTTCCTTGTTTTATATTGTTTTCCACATTCTTGGGAACCAGTGCAATACCTGGAATTTCTACATACAGAACAATGTGTTGTTTATTTTTCTTTCCTGGAATAATACTCCTGTCCCTTCGTTTTTTTTTTTCTTTGTATAATGACAGTCACGAGATTCGGATTCGGATTTATCACTTTTGCAGCTGTAACACTGCAAATGTCATCATTGTGGGGATTATCTTATGTCAAGCCTCTGCTATCCGGGTGCACAGTGCATGCATGTATGTATTTAGTTTGGGATTACTTCACCTACTGCGCACACAAAGTCGTGCTTCCATCATTGCAGGTGGACATTAACTTACATTTATTTCCAGGAAATGTTACCTAACCCTGACCACTGCTACTATTACCAGCACTAATCTTACTGAGTCTTCACCCTCACATTATACAGGCAGATTTAATTTTCCCCCAGCCAAGTATTACAAGTAATCTGACATTCCACATACCTCCTTGTTGACAAAGCAATAGAGGATGGCTACAAATAAACCCTGTGAAGGAGGGAAATAGTGCTTAATGATGATTCAAATGTACAAATATCATTAAAATATGTTAGGTCATGTGGCCTTTACACAGAGCAAGTCCTCTGAGTACAGATATTTTAAACTCGGGGACATGTACAGAATCCTGACTGCACCTGGAAAGAGTTGAAGAATAGCTGGAAGAAGAGGTTGATGTCGTGAAGGACTCCCTCTGTGTGCTCCTCTGTCAACACTGCAAACACAACTTCATGGATCCCCAGCAGAGGAATCAGGGTCAGGGTGGATTTGGCCAGCCTGGGGAGAAACACATGCTGAGGTGAGGGAACATTAGCTGCAGTGTCTTGCTCAAAGACACATCAGCAGGACAAATATGTTGCTTTGTTTGTTGAACATCTGCTTTCCAGTTGAATGACAGGCTCCCTACCTTAATCCTGCTGCCCAGGCTCTTACCAGGAATAAATTGGAAGAGTGCTTTACCTGCCTCCAGCAGAGCATCATGGGAGATAAGAAGGTAGCCCTGCTTGATGGAAATTATGCTTGTATTTATACTAGATAGCTATCAGTTTGTGTGTGGGATGCTGGTCAAGGTTACGTCAGGTCATACAACAGCCATGTTTCTGATGTTTCCCGTCCTTCTCCTGTTTGAGTTTCAGAAAGACTTTAGGTCTACTGGGTCCTCATCAAGGTGCTGTCTCTGTTTGTTTTGGTTCTGTTGAATTGCATGCATTGAGAATGCCTGTTTTGTGACAGTACAGTCAAGTAAAGCTGAATGAAATATTCAATCTCAGAATTTTGTCTGGCACCGATCTTCATATCCCCACACAGGTCATCTGAAAGCCATGTAAGCCAACTCTTTGTCCAACTTTCAGTCAAAAACTAGATAATTATCTCAACATATCAAAGTGCCTGGCTTCTGTCACCTCCACTGATGTTGCTTCTGCTCTGATCCTTTAATGCTTCAGTAGGAAGGTTTCCCACACTGCTGCCTACACAGTGTGCATATGTTCACGACTCTCAACAGACCATTAACGTAACTCCGTTTGTCTAATTACTGTCCCACGCACTGCAAATGCCACTTACCAGGAGTGGGGGGATATAGTCAATATTGGAGATAAAGCATTAAAGTAACACAACACTGTGATCACATTACATTTGTCTGTAATGCAGAAAGAAAGTAAGAAATTGCTGTTTCTAGATTAGTTCTTCATATACACCTACTAATCAGAGTTAATGCTTTTATCTTGCTGCCGCTGCCACCGTGATTCTCTTGGACATGCAATCGAGCCTTGTTCTTGCCACAGCATTTATCGGTGAGCTTTTCTTTGGGCCGCTTTTCACCCAATTTGCTTTTGGCTTTGTGGCAATGCTTTATTAAAACGCATGAAAGAAATATTCTGACATATCTGCGTACCTGAATTTGTAGTCTGTATATCTCATCTGATGGGCTTTCAGTTTGGATACAAGGATGTGGATGATACGGATGAAGAAAAAGAAGTTCACCTGAAGAGATGAAATGGCAGACGCATTAACAGATGAGAGGATGTTGTTAAAAACACAGTTTCATACACAGTTTTCAAATCAGTGTACTTCACAATCCAAGCTGGCAGCTACTGTGAATTTCAATCACTGACTTCTAAAAGTCAAACAAGACTGCAGAAATGTCTTATGTTTACAGCATGGACATGTTCACTTGAGCGATTTGAATGAGACAAGGAAGGCTACAGGTCACGTCCTGTGTGGTATCTGCACCACGTTATTGTTCACTTTTACAACCTGTGTTCATGTCTAGACTAGAGTTTTATTTTATGTCTCTGTGTGTGTGTGTGTGTGTTACCATAATGGTGAGCTGGATGGGGATGTGAATGATCCACCAATGCGCCAGATTTGCATTTATCTCCCAGCAGCTAGGAATAAAACACGAAGCAAAGTTTATTTTTTCAGTTGTTCCATTCTAAAATTGTGTATTCCTATGATTTATACATTGCTTTTTATATTTAAGCACACTGTGCACATACAGTCGTCCTCAAATGTATTCATACCCTCCCATTAAAAAAGAAAAAAAACGGCTGTCACTGACATAAGTTGAAATTACCAAAAGTAATAATAAATAAAAAAAAAATATTTGAAAATCATGACATTTTTTTTGAGTTGTGGTTCAACAGAAATATATATATATATATATAAAAACACAAGCAAACAAGCATGATGGGACCCATAAACTAATATTTAGTTGAACAACCCTTTGAGCCAATCACTGCCATCATCAGGTGTTTTCTGTAACTCTCAGTCAGACTTCTGCACCTGTTGACAGGTGTTTGGATTTTGGACCACTGCTCATCAGCAAAGTGCTCTAATATGTCTGGGACAGTTTTGTTTGTTTTTAAAAATTATTCCTTTCAAACAAAAATCAAAAACAAAAGCCTAATTCAACAAAATATAAATTAAAAAAATTTTAATTAATAATAACTTTTTCAAATTCCAAAAATTTGAACCAACAATGGGAAATTAGCCCTTTCCTTAAAGGAAAGGGAAGAAAAAAATTGAAGAACAACGGCCGGAAGAAACCGGGCCAAGCAAAAAGGTAAAGAAAAAAAAAAATACTGTTGCATGCTATTAACACAAAAATAAAAAAAATCACCTTGTGTTGTCAAACAGGTAACGTACAATAATCCAAGGAACGACAAATAGCACTGGGGTACCTGACACCAACAGAAATATGTAAGTAAGTGTCGAAGGTTCAGCAGAAATGTAATCAATGTAAAACCTGTTTAGTAATTCAGAGCTTAGCATTTCTCTTCAGCTGTGCTGTGTGCGATTATTTGTGTATGCTGTGTTGTGTGTACCCCAGCCGAAGAGGAGGTATCCACAGAAGTAACGGTTTTCGGAGAACGACACCAGCACCAGCAGGTTGTGCAGATACAGGCCCTCCACCAGCAGCCAGAAGTAGTTGGTCCCCACACAGTACTGCATCAGCACCTGAGCCACTCGGCAGCCGGACACCGTCTAATGTATGTAAGTGTGTGTTTGTAGGAAGACATAAACACTTGTGAAGAAGTGAAATGTAGATGCTCTGAACATTTGACTTTTGAGGTCGGTTACAGCCAAGTGTGCATGAGCAGATTACAAATCTTAATAATTTAAACAAAAAAACAACAATAATTTAATCTACCTTATTTATTTAGTCGAAAACTCAAATCTTTTTTTAAGTCAAGTCTCAATTGAAGCAGCAGTCAAGTCAGCTCCTCATTTTTTGTCTGACTTGACTAAGTTTACAGTTTCGGCCTTAACCGTAAAATCAATTTTCTATCTGAGTGAGTTGTAATAATTACCATGGGACAATGTTGTACATGTTATTTATTACTACTTATTATTACCAGATTTAGATCAGCTGACTTGTATAAATGATGCAATTTATGGTCAGGATGACGGCAAAGATTGCTGTTTGATGCAAAATACACTGACTGGACCCTGTGAACTCTAATGTGACCCAAACAAACAGCTCTGCCATGAATTCTATTTTTTGCAAAGCGTCTTCATTTTCAGTTTATATTGTTGTTTGTTAAATGCTGATCATTTTGCTGCTCGTTTATTTTTGTGGTCATCGTGGGTGCTGGTGTACTGGACTGCATTACATTCTAATATTCTGCCCCTTTCATGTATGTTAATGGGATGGACAACATATTTTGAACACTTTGAAATCCATTGTAACATTCTGTCCCCAGCTTGTATGTTAATGCTGTGGACTTAAAATATGTACAATCCCTGTTTTCTATTTTTTCTCTCTCTCTGAGACTTCTGTGTGGGTCCTAACCTGGTTACTCAGTACTTCATAGACGTCCCTGTTGTCTCCGAACTCAGGAGGGTTTCTGCTCAGGAGTGTGTCTCTGGTCAGGATGGAGGCAGCTCGCAGAATGAACGATGCAAACAAGTTGGTGTGGATGTAGTTTCTGGTGCAGCGCAGCTTACTGCAGGGGTATATTAAACACATCAGATTAATGTTTCACAGTCAGTCAGTCTGCTTTACATGCTACACCTAAACAGCTGATTTTAAGTGTCAACTGTGTTTCACAGGTAGTGCTTCTGAATTTGATGTTTTACACTTTATCATTTCATTTGACATAACAAACAGTTTGGAAAACCACGAGTTGTTGCTGTTCCTTGAGCTCTTTGAACAGCATCGGAGGTCTGACCAAAGCGGTGGAAGAGGTCACAAATGTTTTCTCCAGGAAATAAACAGACTGAAATAGAGACAAGGAGACGACTGTGTCCTAAAATAATGAGATAACAAGACGAGGAAATATGAAAGCAGATCGAAGATTGCTTACCTGAAGAATAGCAGAATAATCAGAGCCAGAGAGAGACTGGCCAGACTAGCACAGTAACCCACTGTGTACATGACTTTGAAGTAGGCTAGAGTCACCATCCGCTTCTCCTGGACATCACGCAATAAAAACACGAACACATTAAAAAACAAGTCAATGCTGTAGACTTAAAATCCACTAAACACTGAGTTTGATTTAACCTCAGCAGTGTGTTTTTTTTTACTCCTGTTACTACATCTCCATATATTGTCTGATAGAAATGTGAAGTTGATTGTGCAGACTATTTTAAAAGCTTGACACTCTCCTTTACAAGTTGAACCAAAGTCTCTTTAACATTAAAAGAAGAAATACATCAAAACCATTTCCAGACTGTAAAGACAAACTTAAAGAACTCATTCGTGTCTTTTCTTTTTGTCATAAATTTCAAACAACTTCCACTTTGGCCTCATTTTTTCTATCTAATGTTTTCACACCACTGATAGATTTGAGGGCTGCAAAGGTGGCGCAGGTGGTTAGCCTCGCAGCAAGAAGGTCGCCGGTTCGCGTCCCGGTGGGGCCACCGGGATCTTTCTGCGTGGAGTTTGTTCTCCCCGTGCAGCGTGGGTTCTCTCCGGGTTCTCCGGCTTCCTCCCACACAGTCCAGAAACATGTTGAGGTTAATTGGTGTGTGAATGAGTGTGCTTGGTTGTCTGTCTCTAAGTGTAGCCCTGTGATAGACTGGTGACCTAAGTCAGCTGGGATAGACTCAAGCCCCCCGCGACCCTCGTGAGGATTAAGCGGTGTATAGATGATGGATGGATGATAGATTTGACTTACTTGAGCCTCCTGTTGGTGGTTTTCAGCATCGCACTCAGAGTGGTCCCTCCAGGTGCGACTGGAGTTGCTGGTGGCCCACTGACCGTCAGGGCCGCACTCCCGCAACACAAAGCCACTGTGCACTACATAAACACACAAGAGAGCCTGAAACACACACCTGTGATCAAACACAACAATGCACACCTGAGTGAGACTTAAGTTTGTGCAGGTGCAGGTGTGTGTGTGTGCATTCCTACCTCTGTCGTACCACGGCAGATACCAGGGGCAGGGCACCTTAACTGTGGAGTTGGGCTGTCCATCTGACCAGCAAGCGTAGCTGTCAAACATTCGACTGCAAAACACTCCTGGGGAAAGGGGAAGGTAGAGGTTTAAAAGAATCGTGTTGGTCAGGGTGATTATATGTTTCTATAAGAAAGAATTCCAGCTGTGGTTACTGATTTTATTTCATTTTTTTAATGACTATATTCAGCCATTTCATATTTATATCTTGTGCACTGTATGTGTATCTATTTACTGTGTTTGTTTTAGCAGTAATGTGGTCATTTTGAGTTGGTGTCTGTTACCTTTGGGCCTCGGTTCTGCTCTCATCTTGAGCTGACATTCATTTCTGTAGCGGTTCCAGTCCTCCAGCATTTCCTCCGTTGTCTTTCCTGACACAGTCTAAAAACACACAGCAAGGACAAACTGCCTTAATTATTCATTCCTTAAACCCTCACTCTACCCTTAACTATCACATTTAAATGCCTAACTCCAGCTGTCTAAACTAAATTCTGATCCTAACTCAACGCCAAATCTTAACTCACAAACAGTTCACTATTTGAAAGTGTGTAAGGAAATCAGCCAAAATATCTCCACTCTCACAATATGTCTAAAACTCAAACTGATCCTCGAAAAGTTGGCCATACAAGAACACAAACATACTTTAGGTTAACATCTGTAACACTCTTTCTGAAGAAAACTGCTCTTTGATTGTATTTTGACAAACCTTTGCTTCCTTATTCTATCTATATGTCTGTTAGCCCATCTCTATCATAATTTTTTTGTATTGTCACTGTCAGATAAATATGTACATCTGTATGAGTTAGTGGTAATTCACTGCTTGGCCTGAAAAGAAGACAGCAGGTGAAAGAGACAGGCTGTGTATATACCATGGTCTGCATACTGCAAAGACAATTCTAATTCTGAGGTACTTTACGGCGCAGCTTTAGCACTAGAGTGTATTACATTTAGCCAGGTGTGTCTAATAAACCAGCATCTCAGTATTTACTCTGTCGAGACAATTCTGGGAAATTTAAGAGGCAGAAAATGGTGACACTTCTATCAAACATGGTGCACAAGAAACAAAAAAATCATTTGCTTATTGGTGCTGTTTTAATAGGAAAATATCCTTCCAACATACCAAACTCCTGCAGAGGAGGAAGAGGATGAGGAGCGTGTGAGAGGCCTTCATCACTCTGAGGTGTACTAAGGTGGCCGCTGAGAGGTCATCACAGAGCTCCGGAGGGTCAGCGAGAGGCCGTCGTGCAGTCAACAGAGATCAAGTGTGGGAAAAGGTAGGATAAGTTCCAGATCATTCAGTGATGCCCTTTCACTCTGCACCATACTGCCTAGAAATACAGAAAACAGTAAATATATAGTAAATATTTCAAAAAATCAACTTACTATTTGACCTGAAACCAAGAATCTTGTGTGCAGAAGCAGTGTGCGAGGAACACAGAATATAAAACTACAATTAAAAATTCAAGCTTTGCACTTCATGCATGCTGCTTGATTGAACCACTCTGAGACCAATTATAGACAATTAATCAACAAATTAGCGTTGAAATTTCGCAGCAGAATAGGAATCTTATAGGCTTAGATATTAGATTATTATTGTTATTTTTCAACCACTGTGTTATTTTGGGGCTGTAAGGTGGCTCAGTGGTTAGCATCGTTGCTTCGCAGCTACAAGGTCGCCGGTTTGCATCCAGGTGAGGACACCTGGGATCTTTCTGTGTGGAGTCTCCATGTTCTCCCCGTGCAGCGTGGGTTCTCTCTGGGTTCTCCGGCTTCCTCCCACAGTCCAAAAACATGTTGAGGTTAATTGGTGATTCTAAATTGTCCGTAGGTGTGAATGTGAGTGTGCTTGGTTGTCTGTCTCTCAGTGTAGCCCTGTGATAGACTGGTGACCTGTCCAGGTGTCCCCTGCCTTCACCCTGAGTCAGCTGGGATAGACTCCAGCCCCCCACGACCCTAGTGAGGATTAAGCGGCGAATAGATGATGGATGGATGGACGTATTATTTTGTGTGATTTATCCTAAGCTCTAAGTTCTCTTGGCTCATTGTTCAATTAAGTCATTCATCAAAAACATTCAGATGTCTTAAAACTGTAACCTCTGCTACGGAGGTATAAACATCTTCATGATCAAAATTTTCACTGATCTGTTGATGATCATTGAATCATGATAGGTAGAGTATTTTGTCTCAGGTGTGTTGGCATGAACACGCAAATAAAAAAAAGCAGAGAGTGTTTTAGACTTGACACAGGTTTCTGTTTAGTATCTTGTAACTCTCTTTTCCTGCTGAAGCTGTGGCGGTTCGTCCCGCTGAAAGCACAGCTGGGTCCGACTGTGCCACCTAATGAAGCCTATAAATATATATACAATCAGTCACACACACACACACACACACAGCCCAGTGAGATAATGCTGCACCAGCAGGTCTCTGTTTATGTAACAACACTAGCAGGCTTTCTGTTTCTCTCTTTGCATTGTTAGAAACACATGCATGTGTTTCTAACAATGCAGGGCAGCGTGTAATACCTCAGCCAACCAACCCAGTAATTAGCACCTGTTCTGTCATGACTGTGGTTTACTTTCATTCAGCAGCTTTATTTTATTTCATTTTTCCACATGGGACACACCTTTAGTAAGTAATAGGAAAAACTCTGAGCTGAAAAGAAAATAGTTTCTAACAATAATTTTAGTTAATTATTACTATTTAAACTTCCGATACCATACAGAACCGTAATCATGTTTGATTATTTTTTGGTGATTTCAAGGCTTAAAAAAATGTTAGGAATGTGTTATTTAACTAACAATTGAATTAATATCCTTTTTCTTCCCAGGTCATGGTTACTTGTCCCATCACTTCTTTTATTTCCAAACAGGGTGTCAGACTACTGGTCCAATTATTTATAGTGCAGCCAAAGCACTCGAATTTAAAGATAAGCAATGTTTTAAAACAGTCATTCCACATGTACAGCTAAGCCCGAGACTATTTACACGCGTGCATCATACTCACAGTGAACTTTACAAATGATTGAACAAAACACATCATTTTGATCTTCCTTGCTGTCTCACCTTTAGTCCCATTTTTCACAAGTTCTGGACAGACGATGTGCCTTAACGTCAGCATAAGCTTTTAGAGCTATATTGCTGTCCGTGTAAAAGCTGTGAAAACATTTAAAGGTTTTGTGTGGGTTTGTTTAAGTCTTTTTACATCACTTCCATAGACTGCAGGCTTACATAACCCCCACCGACAGCAACCCATGTTATCACGCTGCAATAAACAATTAGAGTGAAGCATTTCTAAGTGTTATTCAGAAAGAAAAGGCTTACCGAGCAATAAACAAAACACAAATCAAAGGTGGTATCATAAGAATGTGGTGAAGAAGAAGAAGAAGTAGAAGAAGAGGAAACGTACGCACCTCTGAGAAATTCTCCTTTCTTGTCTGAAGCCTAATTTCCGCTGTGCAGAAGAGAAATGAAGCAAGTCCCCCTATCAGTTATCAGTGCTGTAGTCCCGCAGTGGCAATTATATAATGCGATCATTTAAGAATACAGCAGATGATTTACAGCAAGGCTCATGTGTCTGACGTCCACCGAGCGCAGTCATGACTTCTCTGTCATCACTGAGCTCTCTCTCTCTCTCTCGCTCTCTCTCTCCCCCTCGCTTCATCACTGAAGGCTGCTGTTAAAATCTCAAACATGCTTTACTGTTTGAACATAGTACACGTCTTGTCATCTTTGGCAGGTATCATACAACAGTTTACTGCTCTGTTCAACAACTTATGCATTCACTAATATTATCTATACACCGCTTAATCCTCAGGGTGGCAGGGGGGCTGGAGTCTATCCCAGCTGACTCAGGTCACCAGTCTATCACAGGGCTACACTTAGAGCACACTCACATTCACACCTACAGACAATTTAGAATCACCACTTAACCTCAACATGTTTTTGGACCTTGTGGGAGGAACCTGGAGAGAACATGCAAACTCTGTGCAGAAAGAGCCCCCCACCGGGACGCGAACCGGCGACTGTCTTCTTGCTGCGAGGCAACAGTGCTACCAACTGCGTCACCTTGCAGCCCATCAGTTAAACTAGTTTTAAGATAATATAAAACAAAATTCCCCATGACAATGATAATTTCCCTGAGGTACAGGGTTAGGGTTAGGGTTACCCTAACCTACCGTACTGATCAATAAAGTTTTATCTAAGTTCTAGCTCATGATATAAAAAAAATATATAAAAAAGATATTTGACAAGTGCATAAAGTTCTTGATAAAATCATTCATGTATCTCCTTAGTAAAATTATGAAATTGTACATTTTATTGAAGTAGTGTCATGTAACATGGTGTGTTATTAGTATTGTACTGAAAAAAAAGCTTTTGTCATTGAGCAAATGTTGATCTTTAGTCCTGTCAGTGTTGAAAAGCTGAGTTTTTTTGTCTTCTATGCTGTCATATTGAAAAATGATGACTTGTTCGATGGGACTTTGAACTTTGCAGTGTTCATCCATGATGATCAGCTGATTACTGCTGAAAAGACATGACTGTTTTCTTTACAAGATGCATTAGTTTTGTAATTTTGGATCATTCTTTATCATGTCCAATCACAAGACAGGTCCCTTTATATGTGACACATTATACAGTGTCTTTATTGTCACCAAACCAAATATTCACACACAGAAATATGCAGCCAATGAGGAGTTTATTCCTCTAATGACCGATTTTAAAGGCGTTCCCATTTTAAATTTTCATAAACCATATGCCATATGTAGGTGATGCAAATGTGTCTAGTCCCAGATAAAAAATAAAATGGAATTAAAAATTCTTGGCAAGCTTTGTCTTCTCCGAGTAAAGCAATTTGCATAACAATGTTCAGGATATATCAGTAATTTTAATATGTGTTTTACATCACCGTGGAGGCTCTTCGTCTCATGTGTACATGAAGCCCGAAACAACAGGAATCAATATGACCTTTAAAAAATCCTACTAATCTCACTGTGATTATTGTTTGGGGATTATTATCCGTGTGACGAATTGAAATGGATTTTGCCAAAGTTTTACATAACTAGTTACAAAGACTAAACTGTTATCTACAGTATCCATGCTGGTATTTTTAACCTGTGTAAAACTTGGCGATGTTTACATAAAGAGGAAAGATTTTTTTTTGTGCAATAAAGATTTCGTTATTTAATATACTGACAGTAGAGTTTTTGGTTTTGTTATATACAGTCATCCTCAAATGTTTTCATACCCTCCCATTAAAGAAAGAAAAAAAAATGCTGTCTCTGAAATAAGTAATAATAAATAAAAAATTAACAAAAGTTTTGACATTGCTTCTGAATTGTGGTTCAACAGAATATATATATATATATATATATATATATATATAAACAAGCAAACAAGCATGATGGGACCCGTAAACTAGTATTTACTTGAACAGCCCTTTGAGCCAATCACTGCAATCAAGTGTTTTCTGTAACTCTCAGTCAGACTTATGCACCTGTTGACAGGTATTTTGATTCTGACCCACTGCTCATCAGCAAAGTGCTGTAACTTGTCCAGGATAGTTTTTTTTTTTTTTCAATTATTCTTTTCAGCCACAACTCAAAAGCAACATCTTATTTCACTAAATTATAATTTAGCAAATTTTTATTTATTATTACTTTTTTCACTTTCTAGTTATTTGAGTGACTATTGTGAATTTTGCCTTTTCTTTAATGAAAGGGGATGAATACATTTGAGGACGACTGCACAAGTGGCTGCTACTTGAAAACATACATTTATGTTCTGAGTCTAAATAAATGAAACCAAATAAGAAAATCATGGAATTAAAAACTAAAATTGAGCTAGTGAAAGACAAAAAATTAGTTGAATCTAAATTTATTTTATCCACTTACTGCTGTCAAAGAAACCCTATGAAGTCAGGTGTCAATTGGATCCTGTGAACTTCATACTTTTCTCACTACAAAGAAGACAATCTACGGTGCAATTTCCAGCTCTGTTTTATTCTATTAGACATCAGCACCCTCTGAGGGAAAATTATATTTTCCCAAAGTAATTATATAAAATTGATCCAAGCTGACTGTCGTATTAAAATTTCAGAAATGTGCACAATTAAAGTCTGGTTATCACCCCTGAGAGTAGATTATTGTAGATGCAGGAAGAAGAAATTGCTTGGATCCGAGGCCAAAAAAGGTGATTAAATTCTCATTTAAGATCATCAAGACCAACTTTGTTTGTCATGTTTCGTTGTTGTTTACATTAGTTGTTACACATCAATAGAAGCATTTAACAGTGAATCATCCTGCAACTGCAGCATCCGGTACATTAACTTTCCCCGATACGCTGCTGCAAATGAAGCATCTTACATGTTTTTAGTTTGACCACTGGAGGGCGGAAGAATTCTTTTTCTCTGATTGTTTACGCCTAAACTCTCTAATATTGCCATAACATGACATTTATGTTGTACTTTCCTCTTTCTGTTGCAACTATTTTAGGATTCAGAAGAATATTTTAAAAATGTGTTTTTAATCATATACTTCTCCTATACATTGGAAGACTGAGGTTTTCAAAGCTGATTGGGAAGTTTTTATTTTAATTTACTGATTAATGTTTGCTCCACTGATATATTCACAGTTTTCATTGCCTTGCTCAGCTCTTCCATCAAGATAGTTTCTAATGTTTTGTGGTCATGTTTATATATTCACCTCATCTCACATCAACCTGTTCAAAGGAGAAGCGAGCGGGCGGGCCTTATCTCTGCTTCGCTTGAAGTCACACTGGAATGTAAAGGGAGGGATTTCTTCTTTTCACCTCACTGGGAACTTTATCAGCAGCTCATATCTGCTTCACCAGTGAGCTAATAGGCTGAGACTCCTGTGGCTCACAGGAGGAACCTTTCTGCAGAACCATCCTCCCTCAGCTTCCCCATTGCGTTTAGTGAAAACAAACTTCTACTTATGGTCCTTTTAGAGATTTATTGGAGTCTACACCTTGACCCTGTTCAGCTGTGTGGTCCTGGACTTTTTTTTTTTCCTGTTAAACTATGAAGAATCCTCGTTTTCAGTGGTATAGATAATATCTAATTTGTTTTACAAGGAGCCGGAGAAAAACCACGAATAAAACCAAAACTGATAAATTGAAGCTTGAATTGAAAGTGCCTGGCAAACTTTTCTTCTAAACAAGGAAACAAATTCTGACTGCATTCAGTGTTACTTGTCATGTGTAATGCTTCTCTTTCCTCATTAACCTTTTTTCCATCCAGATCTGTTATCATCTGGGTGTAGCTGCTTGCAGTCTCCTCATTACCCGTCTTTGCCGGAGCATTGCGATACATCTTGAAAACAAGTTGGCCCACGCCGTTAATACAATCACATAGCCTTAGTTCCTGCTTTCCTTTCAGTTTCTTTGCAAGGTCTGTTTACTAAATGCAGGTCCTTATGCTTTGTAAATCATTATTACCTGAACTAATCTAAACTAAAATGAACTGTATCAGGACATGGAGTCTTTCAAAGTTAGCTGCAACATGACCAAGAATCAAAAGGGTGTATCCCCATGTATGAACTTATTGTTTTGATAGAAATCCATCCATCCATCCATTATCTGTACACCGCTTAAGCCTCACTAGGGTCACAGGGGGCTGGAGGTCAAGGATTTTTTCAAGTACTCTCATATGTAGTCTCCTTTACCTTTCTAATACATTCAGTGCCTGAGACCAGGTTTATCCATTTCATACCAGTGTTATGTCTCTACTAGAGCACTTTGGCTCATATAGTTTTAAATGTGCACTACAAATGTGCTGCATAATTCACTGTCTTTGTAGTTCTTTCTACTTTCGGCCAGCAGGTGACCTGAGGCTGCTCTCTGATTGGTTGCTTCACTTTTCAGATTGCTTTGCCCTCTGAGCTGGCAGGGCTCCACATGGAGGTTTGTGACCTAAAAATCCATTTCTGTCAGATGTAAACTTTTTTTCAGGAAGAAAGATGTTCCTCATCAGACTTGTGTAACTTTGACTATTTCCGTTTGTTAAATCACTACTTCCCGGGTTTTGTTGTGGTTTAGATTGGATTGAAATTTCTTAGCGTTGCAGGTAAGAACCTCAGCGAGTTTCCGTTCCCACTGAGAGGACACAGTGAGCCTGTGTTGTTTGCAGGGAGGGAGGGGGTTGTTTTCCCTTTCTGACTTCAGGTGCCAGCCAACCTTTCTGCCCTTCACATTCCCCAGTATCGGTCATGTGACCAGAGTTTGGCCAGAGCCAGCGGAGCTTGACGAGAAATGCTCACAGAAAGCCCCCTTTTCTTTTTTTCCCCAGTCATCAGGTTTAAGTATTTAATGGGATACAGTTTCATCATAAACCCAGTTACCTTTGTTTTACTTGGTTCGCTTTAGAGTTTTATTTATACTTTTTTTGAACTTAAGATGTCAAAACATGACATTCTGCTTTCTCGCTCTCACTTACACTTCATTTCAAAGTGTTTCATTTGAAAAGAGGAACTCTGGGTTTCTTCGAATGGCTGCGAAGTACACCGGTGTAAGGATCAATGATTAGTTAACAATGAGCAAACATGCCTGAGGGTCTTCGAAAAGTCACTGGAGCAGCAAACAGGAAATGGAAACAGTCATGGGTAAACATTCTCTGCCATCACGATGAGCTTAGGGGATTTCCTTCATATACTTCTGTTGTTAGAAGTTCTAGACAGTTCGCCTGATCAGCTGACTCAAAAATAAATTTCTTAAGTTTACAAGCGTCTTAGAAACATCCTCCTGGAAATTTTGGAATCTTTTTGTATTCAGGCGTGATGACATGAAGAGTGAGTTTGATCTGGAAAGTTGCATCTATTAACAAACAAACCCTCAAATTTGTAATTCTGAAATAGACAACAGAATTTAAATGAGCACTAATCTGTAGTTACTGTAATCCTGACCATATGTCAAGCAGTTCCTCATCCTTTGTCAGAGGCGACACTGATATGGCAGTAAAGGACAACAGTTGGAAAGTAACGCGATCTCACACCGACGGACCTTTCCCATATTTACTGTGAGATGTTCATAAATTTTTCAAGCCTCGGCCATCATCAGGTGTGTCTGTAAGTGTTTTTGAAACCAGACTTGACAGCATGTCTCATGTCTTTCGCGGAAATTCTGACTGGCGGGTCCTTTAAATGGACTTGTATCGAGCTAACTATGTGCTGCTTCTCATCCTAACTCATTGTTAATTAAAGATCACTGAGATAACGTGTAAAACCAGGCAGCGGAAGATTGTAGGGAAGTTACGCACATCCAGGAAATTGCCAGTAGACTTTAGGCTTTAATGACACAGGCAGAGAAAATGCTGTGCTGTGGCAGTTTAATCAGAGTATGGTCACTGGTAGAAGTGCAGGGTGTCAGCCAAACATGCAGTGACTAACGCGTAAGAAAAGGAGAAAAAAAAAAAATCATGCAAGGTGTCTGAAATGACTCCACTCTTTTATGCTCACACTTCTCACCTCTGGCTGTTAACTGATCCTGTGGCTAATTGTTTAGAGCGTGTGTGGCTAAGTCGCCAGTTGGAGGTAACACAGCCCTCGGGATTGAATGTCAAGGCTACTCTTACGGAGGATAGAACACCCTGTCATTTTTGTTACTGGTTTACTGACTCATGCAGGAGTCGATACGCTGTTAAAGACTTAAATGGAGTTTGAGCTTACAATCTTAGGAATAAACACTTTTTTTTTAAATTGAGGAAAGAAAAGACACACAGCATCTTAAAAACAGTCATGTTTATTTAAAAAAAAAAAAGAAAAAAAAAAAAGAACACTTGTGAAATGCTTCAGTTGGATGTAATACACGAGGATGACTTCACCTGAAGATTCACCGAGTTGCTTTTACGCTGCCTCAGTTCAGGCTGTGAAGCATTTAAAGTCTTCTGCAACCCCCAATTTTACAACCAACTTCAGTTCCCACCCTTATGCACTAGAAGCTGCAATGAATGCAGTTCATCCGTCTTGACTGTTACAAACGATTAATCATCATTTTTCAATAGTATTTACAACACATAGTCCTGTTGATAAACCTGTCGTAGAATATGACGCATCAAATTCTTCCACACGATAGTGCATTATTACGGTGGTTTATTACAACAAAATGTTCAGCCGTAAACATGGAGAAGCTAGGACTGTATAAAAAAGTATGTGATTGACAATGACAACAACATTTAGCATGTTGACTTTAAAAAACACATAGCACTATCAAATGCAGACAATAAAATGCAAAAAAAAAATGCAATAAAAGTCCCTTGCGTGCCTTTTTAAGTCTCTGAAAAACAAAGAAACTAATTCAGAGATATTTAATATTAAAGGCAAAACCAAACACATCCTTCCTTGAGCAGTTTCTTCCTTTCTTTTAGCTCGTCTCCTCAGCACTTGGAGTGGAGAGCCGGTTTGAGATTCAGTAATGTCTTTTCCGCGTTGACCCTCATTCATACGTAGTCTTTCCTCTCTAACCCTGGGCCACCCGCAGACCGTGGGGCAGAATAAGCCATTCGTGAAGCGTTGTATCTGGTTTCGCGTGGTGGACAGGAGCAGCAGAGCAGTCCACCACCAAGGACCAGGAGGGCAGCCGCTGCCCAGCCGATATACAGAGCAGCCCCGAGCTCCCTCCGCTGAGCGTCTGTAAGTAAGGGGTTGTAGAAGTCCCTGATTATGGTGTTAGCAGACCAGGAGACTGGAATGAGCTGCATCACACCAGATACAATGAAGAAGACTCCAGAGATGATCATCACCTTTGCCTTGGACGCCTCGTCGTCGATGCAGTTGGTACACTTGGCCCCGGCGATGGCAATAAGCACGGCTAGGATGGCTAGCAGGATGGAGATGACGGTGAGGGCGCGAGCTGCTTGGAGGTCCTGGGAGAGGGCGAGCATGGAGTCATAGACCTTACACTGCATCTGTCCCGTGCTCTGGACCACGCAGGTCATCCACAGGCCCTCCCAGATGATCTGAGCTGTCACAATGTTGCTGCCAATGAAGGCCGTCACCCTCCACATAGGAAGGGCACACGCCACAATGGCAATAATCCATCCCAAAATGCACAGGGAAATGCCTATCAATTCCAGCCCTATAGACATTCTGAAAAGCCTCCTTCTTCCCCTGCTGAATGTATGGCACACCTGAGCGGAGATCACAGAAAATAAAACGACCTGGAGAGGGGACGAGTCAAGCCGAGACCCAACAAGTAATTAAGTTAATTTCAGGCTTTGCATCTGTGAGTGTGTGATGATCTGTTACCTCAACTTCACCAGTATCCTTTTTATAAGGCAGATCAGGTGGAGGGGAGGAGTCCTTGACGAAGCTGACATCACCAAAAAGGGGAGGAAGGACGTGGACACTCTCAAGACTCTCTGCTATCGGCTTACATGGCCAGCTTCACAATGGGCCTGGCCACAAAGAGGCCTTTTACAGCTGAAAGGGCATGCAAGCATGTTTTTATAACCAAAGAAGCAACTCTATGGTAGATTAGGGCTTTCTGTATGATGAGAAATTGCAGTATTAAACATCACGTACAGATGTTGTGCAAGAAGAAGTTTCTCCTTGTTGTCGGTAATGGAGCACCTCTTTATAAACAGTGTACATGACATTTATGGTTTATCAGAGAAGTATGCTATATATAGTGAACTAAAAATGTCATCATCAACATAATTAGGACGTAATCAGGCTCTGATAATGTTGCTTTTTTTTTAAACGGCTAATAAATGAAGAATGCCTGACCTCGTTTGCTCAGTAACAGCCTCCTAACCTAATTATTGCTTTCGTCTCCGAAGTGCCTCGGTGTATAACAAATCTTGCTTTCAGCCTGCCACTGTCTAGTCCTGAAAAGGTTTTATAGGGTTAAAGATAATGAAACTTTCTTAAACTTTACAAGAGGAGGGGCTCCTTCACTTAAAGCCTGATAATTACCTAAAGTCTGAGTTCTGAGGCCTTCACCTGTTATGTCTGATGGGTCTTAATGACTGTCTGTCTGCAGAACGTCCTTGAATATCTGCGGGTCTGGGACTGTCTCTTGAGGAATGCCCCCAACCCCCAGCATTCTGTAACCCAGCGCTGACAACCCCACCCCCAGGTCTTCTCCCCTGAATGAAATGAAATGGGTCCATTGTTGCTGTGGGGAAGCTGACAAGGTAGCGGTTCTTGTTATCATAGAGCCAACAGACATATGGGAGACTGTCAGGTGAATAGGTGCCGTGACTAAGACTCCAAGTTATCAGACTAATGACTGGGAATGCAGAGTGAATGAGATCCTTTTTTTTTTTGCACCTGCTGACATGAAAATCCATCTTACTAAACCTGCTTTTAATATGTTGTTCTAGTTAGCTTACTGTCATTTTAAAAAGAAAAATATAGTCAAATGTAAAATTGACCGTCTGTTGTATGTAAAGGTCTGTAAATGAGTATTTGCTTATAACAAAACAAGAAAAAAATATCCTCTATTGTTGTCTATAGGTGCATTTTTCTCACATTTTAAAATACCACATGTTTCCGCTTCACCCCCTTGAATGATAACGGCACAGTTTATCTGGAAAAATCAATTGTCAAAAGCCAAAATAATCACAGTAACTCAGTTTAGAAAACAAGGGATTTAATCAAAGAGTTGTAATTAAAGCATATAAAACACCAAAACATTCCAGATCAACTGATTCAAAAAACACAACACAAATCTGCATTTTGCATCTGTACAGTGACACACTTCTTTTTTAGTCAAAAATGAAAGTTGTTTACAAAAACACACACACACACAGTCAATGTAGTAAGAAAGCAGAAATACAGATTTGTCTTTTTGGATCACCAATTAGTTTCATAAAGTATAAAATGCAGGGCACACCTATAACACACTCAGACATATACAGCTGTTATCATCAGTGCTTCCAACAGTGACAAAGTGGCACACAATAAAATAACCAAAGAAAGACAAATTTAACGTAGGCTTTGGTCAAAAGGTCATACATAGAAGGAGTTCAATAAAAAGCAGGTGGGTGGAAGTTTATAATAATGCCTCTCCCCTCCAGTTCTCTTTGCACAGTTATTTTCATGGCGATGTGAGAAAAGAGCAGGTGTCACTTCAGACGTAATCCCTCCTATCGTAGCCACTCGGCGCGACTGACCTCGTTGGGGAGTACATCATCTTTGATGGAGGCCCGTACCTTTTCTCAGGTTGCTTTGGACAACTTGAGCAGAGGATGCCCCCTCCGATTAGAAGAAAAGCAGCCGCAGCCCAGCCCAGGTACAGAGCTGCACCTATCTCCCTTTTCTGTGCCTCAGGTGTGAGTGGACTGTAGAACTCCATAACGATAGTGTGGGCAGACCACGACACGGGGATCAGCTGAGTCAGAGAAGCCAGGACAAAGGCCACCCCAGCAGCTATCATCACCCGAGATTTAGCGGCCTCCTCGTCCACGCAGTTGGTGCATTTTGCCCCCATTATGGCCACCAAGAGTCCCACAATTCCCAGCACGATGGAGATGATGGTGAGGGCGCGGGCAGCCTGAAGGTCAGCACTTAGAGCCAGCATGGAGTCGTGGATTTTACACTGCATCTGACCTGTGCTCTGGACCACGCAGTTCATCCAGATGCCCTCCCAGGTCGTCTGGGCCGTGACGATGTTCACCCCAATGAAAGCCGACACTCTCCACATGGGCAAGGCACAAGACACAATGGCTGAGATCCATCCCAGGACAGCCAGAGTCACTCCAAGTATCTCTAATCCCAGTGAAGGCATGTCCAAACTATGTGTGAGTGAAAGTGCGCAGATGTCCGTCCTATCTCTGTAGTCAGAAGTGGATGCAGTGAGTGTGCTCTGCAGGCCTGATTGCTCATATAAGCAGGAGACTTCTATCAAACAGAAGGTGGAGTCACTTGGTTATTGGCCAGGGAAGCGTTCAAACTGTCTTCTGTCCCACCTCATTTCTACCAAAAACCCAGCCTTGGTATGGAAACGGTCACAGCTTAATCATTTAACTTCCAAGGCCCCAGTAGCTCTACCACCTGTTTGGGTAAGAAGGGAGTAAACACGGGGCCAGTATCTCTCAGTTCTGAAATAGTTAAAGGATAACAGCAGTGGTGAAGAGCAGTGGATGAATGACTGAAAGTGGAAGGCACAAAATCAACTGCTGCAGGTGTCCCATTATAGTCGTCTAGACAGATGAGGCAGATGTTTAGAATTCAGAATTCAGTCTTGACAAGAATACTTCATCACTTTGCGTTGAGAAGTTGTGAACCATATTTTTCTTTGATTATACCTTATTTGTATGGATAGCGCTGGCTGGTGAAAAGGAGCCGGAATAGTTCTGTGGAAACCAGTGGGAGTACTCTGATTACGTGAGAGCTTCTGTATCCTTCCACAGAAATTGGTAATCCACCCTGATTTACTGTAAACATCAGCGTTAATCAGCTGAAGATAGAAAGTGATATATTTTTTTAGTTTGGGGAGAAATTTTAAGTATTCTTAAATGCTGGTAGCTCGCATCAACAGGGTATCAATGACAATAATGTTATTTTAGCTTGAAAATTATTGAATTTAGAAACCACACAATGACAAAACATAATGGTGTTGAGATTTATGCCGCTGTAACTGCTAAAAACAACATCTCCTAGTCGGCTTAGTTGACTAATTTGTCTCACTGGTTGCCCTGGGAAGTTAGGAAGTGAGACCACATGTGGGAACTGCAATGCAAACAACACAAAACCCTTGTAAACATATATTGCGAGACGCATACGTGACTCTTTCACTTATTAAAAGTATTCTTCTCTGGACATACACATGTCTCTAGAGATGATTTCAAGAAAAAGTCATGCAAACAGAGAATGGGCCACTGTGTTGGAAGCTGATACAATTGTCTGTGTGCATGTGCACATGGGTGGGGGGTGGTGGTCTTATCAGTCTCATTTTTCTGAAGCTTGTTGCATCAGGGGTTCCAGCTTTAACTCTTGCACGTGCTGCTGAGAAAAAAACTCCTAACACACACTCTGAGCACTTAGGATTTGTCCACTCACTTTAATCAGAATCAAGATTTATTTTATTGCCAAATATTCCTGACACAAAACGAATTTTACGTGTACCTAATTGTTAAAAAAAAAAAAGGATAGAATAATTACAACAAACAAGTGTCCCAAGTCAGTAGATAAGAGACAATACGAACAAATAAGAAGCAAGTGTTCAAAGTTGAACGAACAGCAAGTGTAGCAAATCCAAGGGATTAGAAGTAATTAAAAAGCAATGAAAAATATCTACAGTGAGCAGGAATGTGCAACATATTCACCTGGGAATAACTGCACTGCATCTGCACAGCATCTTTGTCAATTTGTAAATCAGCTCCTTGAGACTGATAACAGATGGATTGCAACAGCATGCCGTGACTGTAGTAAAAAGCATGACTTCTTTAAACGTGGAATAAATTTTATGCTTGTGCAAAAACCTGCATTATTTCAAAAATGTCTGATTTGTTATTGAAGTAATCACACTCTTTGCTACGAGGTGCCGTGCTTAGACTAACACATTCACTACATATGCAGTAAATGTAAATGTTCAGCAAACAATATTGTGTTTGCAGCTCTTAAAATGGGAGCTGTTGGTTTGTCCTGATACGTTTGTTTTCACCTTTGATTGGAGTGTTGCTTTTCCCATGAACACATGACTGCACAACAGCAACACAATCTGAATGCTTTGTCTGTGGCCACTCAAAGGGAGTGCCCAGTATATTTAGCAGCCTGTTCTTTCGATCATTAACATCACTGCTCAACCCAAAGTTAAGAATGTAAGCAATGTTTTCAACCTGTATTTTTTATCCTTGTGCATTTTTATTTTTGCTGATGAGTAGTACAGACTTTTTCAAAAAAGTGACATCAACTTTCTACAACAAATCAATTTTATCTGTAATATCTGCTTTTTAAAAAATATTCTTATTCATACTTCAAAATGGTAAAGACACTCTGCATTTAAATGCAGTTTTACTCCAGTGAATCCCACCTGAGCAGGAAGGTAAACTGTCTCAAACCAGCTGATCAATAGGGTCTTTGTTGTTCAGTTGGGACTCTATTACAGTACAGGTCACATCCCCTCTGCAGATGGAGACTTTTATCTCTGACTCAGTTTCACTTTGCAAATGGAGGACAGGCTACAATGGAAGGGAAGCATAAGGTGCTCTTCAGAAACAAGCCTCCCATTGTTTCTTTCCTCCATTTACATTGAAATAAAATACCTAATTTTGGCATGCAGCAGCAGCAGCAGCACTGCTCTAATTGGTCAGACGCTACTGGACTCTACAGCTGGCGTGTGCACCCTGCTCTGCATACCAAAGAACTTGCATGATAAGTGCAAAGCAACAAACTGAAGAACACTTGAATCTCAAAACAGTTTTGTTCCTTTATTTACTTGTAAAAACTTGCCTTAATCAGAAATTACCTGCATTAACATAGTGTGGATTCCTGAAGATTAGACACAATTTGCCTTCTGCATTTTAAGAAAAACGGAAAAATCGACAGGTAAAATGTGTTAAGTTTGACAAGAAACAAACAAAAAAAATGCATATCAACAAAGACAACAGGGTCATGAAAAAACAAACAAATATGAAACATGCATCAGTCATTCATAGTGATTGTTCAAGTTTCCGCTCAACATCCATCTACTGACCACAGGTTTATTAAGGCTGCTCATCAAATCTTCATTTGTTCCCACATGTTCATACATAGTCTCTTCTGGTGTATCCATTGACTGACATGGTTTTGACAGCTGAGTAGTCCACCCGGGAAGGCGCAGAGCCACCACCCGCTGCAGCTGATCTGGTGGGGCAGGAGCAGCAGAGCAGGGCTCCCCCTAGAATGAGCAGGCAGGAGGCAGCCCAACCAAAGTACAGAGCATTACCAAATTCCCTTTTCGCCGTCTCCTCCAGCATTGGGTCGTAGAAGCCCATTACAATGGCGTGGGCTGTCCAGGACACAGCCACCAGCATCAGCAGTCCAGCCACCATGAAGGTTACCCCTGCAGCCACGACGAGGCGTGGTTTACTGCTCACATCCCGGCTGCAGTTGGTGCACTTGGCACCAGCCACTGACAGACCGATGGCCATAATGCACAGCACCATGGAGACGATGACCAAGGCACGCGCTGCCTGCAGATCTATCGGCAATCCCAGCATGGAGTCGTGCACCTTGCAGTGCATCTGGCCTGTGCTCTGCACCGAACAGTTCATCCACAAGCCTTCCCAGATCACCTGTGAGATGACAATGTTCTGACCGATGTAGGCAGCCACCCTCCACATGGGCAGGCCGCAGGCCACCATCACCCCCAGCCAGCCAGCCACGGCCAGGATGATCCCAAGGATCTCCAAGCCTGCAGAGTACATAATTGGAGCTGGGGATGAAGAAGGAGCTGAACAAAACTCTCTCGCAGGGCTCTGTGGGATAGAAGGCCCTCTGTGTTCGTAGGCTCAACCCTCCTGAGATGAAGGCGATATCAGATCTCTGCGACTCAAAGGCCAGCGTAAGACTTTTAGTGAGAGAGAAAAAGAGAGGGAGAAAAAGATTCTACCTTCTTTATACAGCTTAGACGACTGAAGGTGGAGTCAGCTTAAGGTGGCATCATGTTTACTTTCAAACTCCACGTCCATATGGGGCTTCATGAAAGTTTTGTATAAAGCTGCATCCAAATAGAAGTGGTGTCACATGACCAAAAACCAATGTCCTCCTTGGAAACAGTTTGTTCTTGAACTTGCAGAGTCTTAGATGATAGTAAAGTGTTAAATAATTGTGGTATCCGAGGGAGAGCGCAATCTTAAATCCATACCACATTTACGCACATGAAATTCTTTTTTATCATCATTTTGTCTGCTCAGTTCTGATTATACTAAGATGCTTGTGTACCAGTATTCCTTTAAAATCTTTTCTTGATTAGAGAAATACTGTGTATCTGTGTATCTGTAACATGTGGCAACCTTGAAGAAAAGTGCTGAATCATCCACTGGATGAGATCTCCATGCAAGGAAAAAAGAGCAACAATGACAGGCCTTGTGTGTTGTTGGTCAGCCACATAATCCCTTCTGGGAGGAAAAAAAGTACTCAGGAAAAACAGCAACAGGCCTCATCAGCAGACTTGTTGAACTTTGTTTTTTCTAGAATTTTCTTAATTAAGAGAAACATTGTTATATAGTCAAAAAAAAAAAAAATACAGAAAACATGAGTCTGATGATCAGTCTATGGCACGAGTAGATCATTTTTGAATCTCCACTGAGCACACGATGGCAGACGTTAAACCTTAAATACATACCTGGGACTTAATGGTAGGTCGTATGTAACTAATCCTCTCAGTAAATACCCCCTTTGTATCCAATGATTTTTGAGAACCTCGAAGCACAGAGAGCACATTTTTTCAAGTCAGTTTGAGTGAGTATCAGTGATCTTGCATGTCAAGGAAAATTCTGATTATTAATATGTCTAAAATAGGGAAAAAAGTAAGGTGCAGTAAGGCCCACGTATATGCAGTGTTGTCTCTGTTTTTTGCATTCACAAATTTATTTAATCACAGCTGTTCTGTCCTTATCAGAATCAACGTCTCCCTTTTGTTGTGATTAAACCTAAGTCGATCAAAGATTACGCAAACAGGTGGAAATAGCTTTTAGAATACTTCTTTATCTGATGGATCAGGCTGGCTAACAAGTGAGCTCTGAGTCATTAAAGTCTTTCCTCTAATTAACAGAGGTCACCTGGGGTCAGCGGTCAGAATGAGCATCTCTGTTATCTTGTGGTTCATTCCTCCCAACACAGATCCTCCCACACAGCCACAGACACACACCTGACCGGAGCTCGACTATCTGGATCATTTTTACTGGAAACGGAGTTGTTGCATTTTTGTGATATTGTGCATTTGTAATAAAAGGAACCTTGTGTTTGAGTGACATTTCTGGTAATTCAACTTCCACTCCTAAAGTTTTCATATTTTCACCATGTGTACAATGGAACACCCAAACTGATGGATCATAAAAAACAAAGTGCAACAAGCTGTGAACTCCTGCAGTTCAGTTTGAGAAATACTGTTGATCACTAAAAGATGCTGAGAGGGTTTAACCATGTGCTCGTAGAGGGAGGTTAGAAACATGATCAGACTCCAGGAAACACCCGGGAGATTTATCATAACTGCTTGAAGAGACAGTAACCGTTAACATGCATTGCACATGTTAGTACATGCTTTAACAGGCAGGGGGCGCCACTTTTACATTGTGGCCTTGCTGTGTTGCTTATGTTAGTCTGGACTGGCTGGAAGGAAACGCCCTGCATTAGGATTTTGGTTGTATCGGCCTCATTTGTTCTGAAAAATGTACTCAGATACAAAAAAAAAATTAATATCTCTCTCTCACACACATACAAAAATCAGGTTGGCTCATGTTTTAACATCTTTTAAATCTCCTCTTCAAACAAATAACAGCATAACCAGAGTCCTTAACTTCCTCATTTTAATACCTTTTTTTGTAGGCTTTGTTTCTTCTCATTCCGTTACATAAGGAGAATAAGATAAGCTGAGAGGGTCATCAGAGTTTCCCTCACCTCTGTCCAAGAACTTCTCCAGAGCTGCTGCAGGAGTAGGACACTGAACACTGTCAGGGACTCCTCACACCCTCTCCATAAACTGTTTGAACTGCTGCCATCAGGAAAATGTTTCCGGAGCATTAAAGGAAGAACCTCCAGACTGATCAACAGCTTCATTCCACAAGCTGTCAGAATGCTGAACTGCTGAAATAGATATGCAAACATGTCTTTATTCAAATTGCTTTAAGTTATTGAATCCTAAAGAAACGCTCTCTCATCTTTCATCTCAAAATGACAACAAACTTGACTTGATTATATGAATAGTCTTTACCTAATGAGGTTATGGCTTGTTGATTGTAACTTGTTTCCATGTGACGCAATTTGGGATTGGAAAGCATTCTGTAAATCAAGATAAAGATTATTAATAATAACATTATATTAGCAGCAATTATTGAAAAACATGGCCGCCCTCTTTAGTATTTCCAAATGTTATTTATCCCTCAACTATTTCTTAAGAACTCAACCCATGAGCTGCGAAATCATCAATACTTTTGATTTGTAACTGGCAGCAGTCCAGTGCTCCTAATTAAGGAGTCGCCACCTCCAAGAAAAAACATGTAATCACTAACAGCCAGCGCTTGGACCACATTGCAACTCTGTGGATTACCTGAGAAAGTCAGAAAAGACTAGATCCAACTTGAATTACATCCACTAAAGTGACTGGCTAACGCAACATGGAAACCAGTTGGATTTGGAGTCAGAGTATCACGAGGCGTGCTCTTACTGTAATGGCTGACTGAGCATTTATTTCCCACAACATCCTGGTGTTATACAATATGTCACACGCAAATACAAAAAAACCAAGAACGCAGTTGCCCTCCCGTAACTGACACAAATGTTAAACAATCAATGCAGAGCCGAGGCCCAAACCAGCAACACATTTTGAGTTTGGCAGCAGTGAGAGTAAACTTCTCCCTTTTGTTACCGTACATCCCTCATCATTATGAAGCACACAATACAAACATAGTACCTGCATAACAAGTGTTGTGCAGCAACAGAATGCAGAGCAACGCTGCTTTTTGCTTAAGGTCAAACGATATCACCAAGATTACTCAATTGTATGAGAAGTAACTGATTCATTTTTAATACCTGTTTTACCAGTTTTCCTCGCCTCTTTGTGGCTGCAAGACTAAACTGTATTATTAGCTCTCATGGTCGTTATCTAGACCTTCATCTAGCTTGTATTGTTTATGGTGGATTTTTTGTGAGGCACTCTGCACTTACAGTAAAAGGTTTGTTGGTATCAAAATGTAGGTACAGTGTGTTGAATTGCTGCATTTGCACAAATTAATGTAACTTTAGATAACTTTTGCATGTTTTTATGATGAGCAACTTTTTTTAATACATTCAAATTGCATATAAAACTGACATTTATGAAAAACTTTATTTGAAATATACATATCGGCACAGTTTCAGTCCACTGAAGATCACCCTGTATTTAAGAGTCATGCATCTTCTATTACCTCGTACATAAAAGTTAATCATTTGTCTGCCTAGTTAAACAGTAGGTCTCCAAAGAGCTCTGTCTCTAAATAGCAGGCTATACCGTGATGTTTTTTATCCACATCAGACGTGGTGATTATTTAAGGAGTTCACCAGATTTACAGCAGGTGCAGCAACTTGACTAGACCGCTTCCTTGAAACGTGCATGCAGCCACACGCAGAGCACCTTGCAAAACATTCACCTGTTGTGGGAGTGGGAGCCAGTCGAACCAGTTCCTAAGATACACTGCAGGTTGTTGTCTCCTCACACTAAGCTTTTCTTAATCCCAACTGCTATTAGAATATTATTTGCGACCAATTCTGTTTACATGTAACTCAAACATTTATTTTGTCTCATTTATTTAAGTTGTTAAAGTCAATATGATTCCATGTGTGAGCCTAGTGAAGGATGACAAAGAAAACAACATGTATTAGGAAGTGAAACATTTAATGAACAAATGAGGAAGCAATAGTGTTTCCTGTGTTTTGTTTAAAGCCAAAAAACTCTAATCCCTGCGTGTAACGGTGCACACAAACTGAACTAAAAGTTCCCCAGGACAAAATACAAAGCCACACTCCCCCCCTGACTTGCACAGCAGCTTTGTTTGTGGCTCATAGCCCCTTATTACAGCTACGCAACTTCTGCAAAACAACAGAAGAATGAATGCTTGTAATTGGACTGTTGTGTCCTGAGAACACAAATGAACAAAACCTGACACTTTTTTTTAATATGTAAACACAATTTAAACTCTTGATGCTACATTTTTTCAGATCAAACAGAACTTTGAAATCTTCAGCAGACTGTTGAAAGCTTCAGGCACCTGTTGGTGTCATGTGATAAGGTGTCATGCCCGAACACGCATGAGTCACTGAAGATCACCCAGAGATATTTACCGTGCTTAAATTACCCACTGAAACTGTGACTGTACCTGCACAATGGCCTCAGGGCTCACAGTGATGACATCACACACACACACAGACACACACACATACCTTCCCCTCTGATACACGAAACTACTACTTTTTTTTTTTTTCTTACTTCCTGAAAAACCCAAAACAACGTAACTATGGACAGTTTTCATTACATCACACAATGTTTCTGTTTAAAGAGCTGAACGTTAATCTCCTTCTATTTCACATTAAATAATAATAATAATACATTAATGAAATGTTGCACAGCATGATTGCCGTCCTTACTACAATCTAAATGGTATATATTAAACTGGATGGTAAAGTTGTCATTTGATCTTTATTTCTGCTAGAAAATAAAGACTGGCAATGTCTTCCTATTTTCTACCAACATTGAAGCATCAAAAACAAATCTGTTGATTTTGTGTATGCACATTTAATGATGGGAAATGATATGAACTGTGAGTAGAGCTAAATCACTAAATGAAGACACCTGAGCCCTCCTCACCTGAGTCTGCACTGCGTGGCCCAGCCAGTTTGACAGAAGGGTTGGACATCTGACTGAAAGCCAACGCCAACCGTTACCATGAAGTCTGGGCTTGCCTTGGACTACCTGCTGACACATGTCACTTCATCTCCCTCAGGCATTTTCTCACCACTCCTCAAGCCTCTTACCCGTTGCTTCAGAATTTCTACTGCTCCCTTTTGCAAAGCCGCCTGAGTGCGGAAACCTGAGCTTTTCGTTATGGCACAGTTGATTACTCTGGAATGTAACTGAGCAATCTAAAACTTTGAAAGTGTGTATTAAAACACAAACTGTGTCACATATTTTGTTCCCAGTCTGATTTTTAAAATGTACACAACTCATTGCATGTGTGTATCTACCTTGATGACTGTACGTGAGTTTTACAAAAACATCAGACAGGCAGCTGGAGCCCCTCAGAGGCCTAGAAGTACCTGCACATGAGGCCTGATCTCGGCCTGAAACCATCTCTCCTCAGCGTCTTAATTGTGGAAATTCCTTCCTGCCTCCCTGTGTGCGGAACCCAATCTCCGTAGCCAGGCTCAAGTACCTTTAATGATCCTACCTTGGATAAAATAGAGGTATTATAGTCCTAACGGCAGTTCTGGCTCTTAAACACTGCCTCCATTCATTTCTGAAACAATCTGATTCCCTCTCTGCCTGCCTTTGCCCCCTCTCACTATCCCCTCTTTTTTTTTTTTTTTTTATGCAACAGTCTGTCAACTGGAATCACTTGGCATGGTGTTTCCCGTTTCCCCAACATCTCCCTCCTGATGTATTCTCGCTGCGGTGGAAAACTATCGATAATTCAAGTTGGACCTGGACTCCACATTCTCTCCCAAGACAAACCAAAGGAGAAGTTCCCAAACTTTCATCCTGCAAGGACTTCCATCATTGCAAGGTCAGGCTCCATCTCATTTTTTTATCGTGTACTGTAAATCGTCTCTGTTCATGCCAACTCAAAAGATTTGTTTGTGCTGAAAACAATAATCATTTTGGTGAGGTCTGTGTTTATACGTTCATTGTCATGTTCTTGCCAGTGCGACTCTGTTACACTACAGTGCAAGAAGGCCTGTTAAAACAATACTTTGAATATGTGCTTGATGTGAGTGTAAGCAAACAGGGCAGTGTGTTTTGGGATTGAATTTACCAGAATGGTCTCAGTATTTACCCACAAATATGCATTCTATAGTTTGTTTAAGAATTGTACGTATTTAAGGAGGTAAAAATTCAACAAGGCTCTGGATTTCTGTTTGTGACTTTATGGGTTATTAGGATTTACTAAATATGTGCAGGAGAAGCCAATTTGAGTTAAACTAATCTAGTTATTTACACATTTGACCTCTGAATGTTATTAAATTCTGTCTACTAAGTGTTTTAGAATTGCGTTTTATGCACTTAAATAGAAATTCTGACATGTTAGTTTTCTTTAAATATCCGATATTCAGTCTGCAGACTGTGCACCTGTTGACATGCATACTCCTGTGCTCTACTTTCTTCCTCAAAATGCCTGCAGCTAAAAAATAAAACCCAGGTCAGAGGTTAATAGAAAACACCAAGAGAGAATGCAGAACCTGATTTTCCATTGTATTGTAGATATAACTGTGGTTGAGTAAATGTGTTGTATTTACCGGGGATGGAAACAGAGTTGTTTCTCATAGTTCCTACTGGAAGCATGTGTGGTTCTAATCTTACATCACACGTGTAGTTTCAGCCATTGTTACCACATCACACAATAAAACACTAACAGAACCAAAAAAAAAAAAAAAAAGCTCCCTAATGGCCAACACCATTATTTTAAGGGCGTGGCTGAAGGTATTTTTTAGTCTTCTGCACTAAGCTCAGCAAATGTGAGTCACATGATTACCTGAATGAGACAAAAACTGACATGATGACACATGCCTGGGACTGGGAGTGGGGGTGGGGGTGAGAGCATTGAACACGTCATGGGTCTTTGTGACACAGTACACGTCTGTCAAACCCCTCCTGAGTTAAGTGTATAAAAGGCCTGCTCCAAACTTTCCCAAACATTTGCATTTGGGGATCTCTCAAGCATAACCTCCTAAAGAGACAATTTTTTTGGACATTTTCTTTTTGGACAACTGCAAGAAACTTTCTGAGGAGACATGGTGTCAGCTGGCTTTCAGATGTTGGGCATTGCCCTGTGCATTATCGGCTGGATTGGGACCATCGTTGTCTGTGCCCTACCCCAGTGGAAAGTGACAGCCTTCATCGGCCAGAACATTGTCACGGCGCAAACTACGTGGGAAGGCATCTGGATGAGCTGCGTGGTCCAGAGCACAGGCCAGATGCAGTGCAAGGTTTATGACTCCATGCTGGCCCTTTCCCGGGATCTCCAGGCTGCCCGCGCCCTCATCATCATCTCTATCCTGATTGGTATCGTTGGCATCCTCCTGGCCATCGCAGGTGGCAAGTGCACCAACTGTGTGGAAGACGACAGCGCTAAAGCCAAAGTCTGTGTGGCAGCTGGTGTGATCTTCATCATTTCTGGTGTCATGTGCCTTATCCCCGTGTGCTGGACAGCAAACACCATCATCAGGGACTTCTACAACCCAACGCTCGTGGGATCTCAGAAGAGGGAGCTGGGAGCTGCACTCTTCATCGGCTGGGGGGCCTCAGCCCTCCTCATCCTGGGCGGTGGACTGCTCTGTGCCAACTGCCCTCCCAAGGATAACTACTCTGCCAAGTACTCAGCTGCCCGTTCATCTGCACCCAAGGACTACGTCTGAGGAAAGAAAAAAGAAATGAGAGACTTACAAAAAAAAAAAAAGACTTGACGCAAATGCTTCGTGGTCCATGAAACTGATTCATATTGCTACACCATTTAAATTTCACCGTTGCTTTATTGTGCTTAGAGTTTAGTTTGATGCATTTATGTTAAGTTCCAGCACTTCTTGATTTGTGTAATCAGTGCAAAGACAAAGTGAACCACACCCAAAAAAACCTGTGGACTGACTTACAAAATGCTGGATTAAGTGAAAAAGAGAGCATGAATATTGGAACAACTTTCATCATGTTACTCTGAACTGTGTGTGTTTGATTCATTTTCCTTTAATTTCATCCATTTGTACCTTTTCACGTATTATTTCTATTAACATGTGTGTTACTCATCACTGTCAAAACTGTAAATAAAGTTTGTGTTTTTTTTACCAACACTAAAGCATCATGTTTAGTGTGTTCTTTATGGCTTTTATCACGTTATTAAATCTGTTCAATCTTCAAAAAGAGTAATAAGAATAAAAAACAATGCTCAACCCATACATTTAAAATTATGTATCACAAAAACGCAAAATATTTTGTAAAGGGAATACAAAACTTCAACATAAATAACTTAATAAATCAACAAAAATGCACCTAATTCACTTTTCAGCCTTGAAAAATCTCTTTTTAATTTCTCCACTGTGAGATAAATAAAGGCATATCTTATCTTATCTTATCTTATCTTATCTTAAAAATGTTTTTAGGGTATAAGCAGACAAAAGACTTACTAAAAAGATTAGCTGAGGCTATATGCACACTAGCAACTAGTTTTTATTCATTTAATCTCATTTTAAAAAGAAAGAAAAAACTGCACATTGTAATAAATGTACAGCCCTTTTCCGAACTTATGAGATGCATGTAAAAATGTTTTTAAAGGAAATTATTCTCCAATATGCTCAAACCAAGAAGTTGCACATGAACAAAACAATAAATAAATAAAGATAATTAGTCCTATTTACTGCAGAACTGGCACTTCTAAATGTCTGTATTGAGATTCTTTAGTGAAGTGCTTGTTGCCAGAGTCATCACCTGCCCAACACTGCCCCTTGCTGTAAAAAAAAATAACACATCCTGTAGTTTCTCTCACACACATGCTCATGTAAAAATATAAACACATTACTCAACAGTCATTTTATTGAAATTGATTGTTCTAAACTTGCTTATTCAAATTCCATACATAAAAAGCAACTTTTTAATTAAGATCATGTCTTTTTTTAAAATTTATTATTTTCTTGTTCAGACCTGACGCCTGAATCTTTATTACTGATGTTTTAACCAATTTTACTTTTAAACAAGTTGGATATGAATTGAGGAGTAGTTTAGTTACTTGTGTGCCATATTACTGTGAATGTGTAGATTTACAAAGATGTGACTGTAGAAACAACCTTTTTATGGACGGTTTTCCTTTAGTTGTGTGTTTGCAGCAAAATTCTTTCAAATCTTTGTCAGTTATAGAATGAAAAGCTGATGGAAAGGAAGTGTTTTTTGGTTTTTATCTGACCTTGAAGCTCTGGATTTCAGTCAGCTCAGCACTCCTAAAGGTCACAGGGTCTCTGGTGTTTGTGTGTAAACTTCTTCTAGCCAATTGCAGCCGAGGGCCGTGGTATCACATACCCTCATGTGTGTGTCGAATCTTCCCACACAACAGCCTATAAATACAAGCTCACGGCATTCCACCTGTTTTCTTTTTGCATTCTTACGCGCAAGGAATAAAGCCGACAGGATGGTTTCTCAGGGGATTCAGATCATTGGTATATCGATGGCTGTGGTTGGCTGGCTGTTGGTCATCGTGGTGTGCGTCTTACCCATGTGGAAGGTCAGTGCTTTCATTGGAGCCAACATCATCACGGCTCAGAACATCTGGCAGGGTATATGGATGAACTGCGTGGTGCAGAGCACAGGCCAGATGCAGTGCAAAGTGTACGACTCCGTCCTCGCCATGCCACAGGACCTGCAGGCTGCTCGCGCTATGATCGTCATCTCCATCCTGATTGGAATCTTTGGAGTTATTGTGTCCATTGCTGGCGGGAAATGCACAAACTGCATCGAGGACGAGCGATCCAAGGCAAAGGCTTGCATCCTGGCTGGGGTTTTGTTCATTGTCTCAGGGCTGCTCTGTCTCATTCCGGTCTCCTGGTCTGCAAACAGCATCATCACCAGCTTCTACAACCCGCTGTCGGTTAACGTCCAGAGATACGAGCTAGGAGCAGCGCTGTATGTTGGCTGGGCAGCTTGTGCGCTGCTGCTGATGGGAGGGGGACTGCTGTGCTGGAACTGCCCTCCAAAACATGAACATCCCCACTACATACCCAAATTCACTCCTGTGAAGTCGGCCTCCACCTCAAGAGAATATGTGTAAGATGGTTTTTCCATCCCAACATGGACTCTGAAGGTCACAGGAAATGCAACAGTAGAAGATGATCCATTGCTCTCAAGTTTAAATATATTGTAGATATTTTTTTTTACAGACAATGTAAATGTGGCACGTAGTGTAAACTTGCCACACGTTGAATGTTGAGGTTTGATTGCGGGCTGTGCATTTGTCAAATTGACCTTTCCTGCAGCAGACATTTTTTTGTGGCATAGGAGAGAACAGCGCGACCAATGGCTGCATTCCATTTAGTTGTCCCAGCAGGATCCGTGGATTGTGTAGGCTGACTCATTCTCACACCAAGATGAAATGAAGCCTTCATAAATGGTACCGCTGTGATTCTCTTCATATGCTTAGTCATAATGGGAACCTATTTTTATGGTTATTGATTAAACCTGTCAAAACCAAGTAACTATACTGCTGCGGTCTTAAAAAATATACAGATTTTCAAGTCCCCACCTTTATCTACGCCTGCTCACTGAGCATACATTTCTTCTTTATTTCTTCTCAAACACTGCACCATGGCAAGTTATAATATTGAACAGAAGTTTTGAAGGACGCTGCAGTTCCTAGCTGGACATACTCAGCCATGGCAGTAACTGCTTATTTTTGCTCATGATGTGTCTGAGTTTCACCAAAGAGAAGTTTCAATGAAAGAAACATTTGAAACGTTTAATTCATGTTACAATGTTGCTGGTTTGAGAAATAAGTATTGTGATTATTAGCAATCAGTGTGATTATTTATATTTTCTAAGGATTTTTGCAAGAACGTGATTACCTTGATTATTATTCAGATGATAACAGATCAGCAAATAAGGACAGAAAAAAAAGCTAATTTATGTGTAACCTCACATCTGCCCTTATACCAAAAGGGGGCATGTTTAATTGCTCATTCTTCATAAAGCATATTGCCTGAGATGTATAGTAATGTATTAGTGTATTAATAATGTATTTTTAATCTGTTGTCCTGTCATTTTCACGTTTCTGAATCCCTTTTACTCTGCATTATGTGTTTGCTTGTGTAACTTCTAATGGTCTATCACTGTAAATAAACTCTATTCTTCCTGGATGATGGCTGTTTACTTCTGTGAAAATCAAAGCACATTTAAACCTCTACTATGGAGATTTAAAAAAAGGATAAGAGGTAATAAAACTCTTATCACAAAGTAATGTGAGGAGACGATTATACACTACAATGCAGGTAACATAATCACATTATGTCAAACTTGCCATTGCTTTCTAGCTTTCATAGGAAATAGGATGCGTGCACATAGACATTGAATAGAATTGTTTCTTGTGTCAAAATAAACATAGCATAGTTTTCCATGTCAGTGTACCTTGACTTTGACCCAGTTAAATGCTGAGCAGAACACAGCATGTCCCAGATTTTAGGTACCTAAATGAAAATGTTTAACCATCTGTGCATTAAAAAAAAAAACTTGAATTAGGCTATAATAATATAAAACAGTGATTGTAAGAGTACAGTGTGTTCTACTAGCAAGTATTTTCCACAGCGCTGTGGATATAGGTCAAGCAATGACAGACTAACTAGATGGGAACAAGTGGTGTGAAAATGGCCGTCGGTGCAGCATCACATGACTGAATAAGGTGTGTGTCATCGGCTTGTTTATACCAAACGAAGGTATCAGTCATGGGCTATATGTTTTCAATGGAAAGTGGCAGTGCCAGTTTTATTTTGTGTCATTCCATTAAGGTGAATGCTATCAGTTCTGAAACAAATAAGGCTTGGGGCTACTTATTTGAACTGGGCCACATCTTGTGTTCTGATCTTGGCTGTGTGTAGATTGTCATAAACTAATACATTCAGCATCAGTCATACAACTGACTGATGGAATTCCAGCTACAGGAAGGACCAATATATCTTGTGCGTCTTATCCATGTTTAGTTTGTGCATCAGGATTTTGGCTTTCTGCTTCTTGACTGGCAGACATAGTTCAATTACTGAACAGAGTTTAGATGCGCAAGTAAGGCAGACAGAAACAATATGTAAGATTTCTTTGTTTTGATGATTTTATTTTAAAACATGAGGAAGGAATAAAGAGTGGCTTGCTGTTCCTGAACATGTGTCTCACTGTGATTGTGATTAACATAAAAATCTTAGAAGCATCTCTTCAATTTTATATTTTTGACAACAGAGACTTGCATAATCTCAACATCTGCACATTTACACTTCAATAAAGTAACATGATAATGACAAGGATGATCTCAGTTGCTTTATTGTGTTTGTTCATTGGTGTGTGTGCGTGTAATATGACAGTCACATTTCAAATGTCACATTCAAAATACAAGCCAAGTAGATTGTAAAAAGAAAACAAAAAAACAATTGATTTAATTTGATCATTTCCATTTTTTACAGTCTGAGTTAGTTACAGGATGCTTGAAGGTGATAAGAGGCTTTAACTACTTCCAGTTACCCCGTCGGTACTGTAAAAAAAAAAAATCTGCATACGAAAGTGGGGTTTTTCAAGAACTAAAGTGAAGCATTGTTTGAAAACAAGTGCCACTCCTCTAGCCCCAAGAAGAGGAATCTTGTCTGACTTGAGAAACTCACCTGACAACAGGACAGCCCTCCTCCTTCACATTCTCAGGCAAACAACAGGCGAGAGAGCCGAGTCACTCCGACAGCGAACCAGACCTGAGGAACTTCTCTCTCCTGCCGCGGACGAAGCCTCTTCACCATGGGGAGGATTGGCAAGGAAGTGGCAGGCCAGGTCATAAGCTTCATAGGCCTCGTTGGGGTGTCGGTGACCTGCGGTGTCCCCATGTGGAGAGTGACCTCCTTCATCGGAGCCAACATCGTGACAGGCCAGATCATATGGGATGGCCTGTGGATGAACTGTGTGATGCAGAGCACCGGGCAGATGCAGTGCAGGCTGAATGAATCCGTGCTGAGGCTGACCCCTGACCTGCAGTCTGCAAGGGCGCTGGTCATCATCTCCCTTGTCTTCGGCTTCGTCGGCTTTATAATCACATTCATTGGAGCTAAGTGTACAGGCTGCTTGAAGAAAGATTCATCAAAGGCCAAGGTGGTGATCATCGCAGGCTGCCTCATCATCGTCGCCGCCGTCCTGATACTGATCCCCGTCTGCTGGTCCGCGGCGGTCACCATCACAGACTTCACGAACCCCTTGACCATCGAGACGCAGAGGAGGGAGATCGGAGCTTCCATCTACATCGGCTGGGCCTCTGCTGCACTTCTTCTGATCGGTGGCATCATCCTAACCACTTCCTGCCCTCCTCAAAGACCCGTGTATGGATATCCAGGATACCCACCGGCACCGGGGTACCCATACACAGGCCCGGCAACATACGCCCCTGTGTATGCTCCTCCATCAAGCCAGCCCTACACAGCCACAGGGACATACGTACCCAGTAAACCATATGCTGCACCGACTACTTATTCTGCTAGACAGTACCTTTAAAACTGAAGGGACAGAGTGAAATTTCTGCCGTGATTACTTCACGAACTTGAGTTGCCATTAGAAAGCAAAACTGCACCAAAACACACACTGTATGTCTGTAAGATGGTATGTATTCCAATGCATTGTAAAAGATAATTCACTGATTATTCTGAATCTTCCTTAAACTGCTTTCTGTTGTGGATGATTTTTTGTTTTTAGTTCAAATAGAAAACTCTGTCGCGTGTGAAGCACTGACATGAGAGGTATATTGTGCCATCATAGCTGTGTTCACTGAGAGTCACTGTCAATATATTTATTTCCTTGTCGTACCGAGCATATTATGTAAATAGTGATGATTTGTGACATGTTTGTTTTCTATTAAAGCCACTTTATTTTTGAGATTGCTGACAAAAATTTCAATAAAAATGTTTGTAATGTATTCACCTGTCTGTTTGTGGGGTCCTTGTGTTACATCAATGTTGTGAAAAATGCAGCAGTTAACAAAATCAGAGCCCTTCTGCTTACGTGAATATGTGTATGTGACTGGCTGAAAATAAAAAAAGGGCATTTTTAAAAATACATATTTTTAAAAACTATAACAAATCGATTTTCATCTATATATTTAATTATGTTCATTATTTTTATAAACCATGAGGAGCGTACTTAAATCTCTAAAAGAGAGTTTCTGGAGGGATTTGCTCCACTGCAGCATTAAAAATGAGTGGAAAAACCTTGATATTATTCCAACAATAGTTTGATGAACATATGTGAATGATTTAACAAGAGCACCAGGAAAACGGACCATACATGGACACTGCAATTTGACATCCGGTGAAACTCTCAATCATGTGTGTGTTTTTTTTCAAACCTGAAACCAGTGACTGGATTCTAATTTCCCCGTCGCCTGGCCAATCAACATCTGGCCACTGGCAGAGCATTGTTTAAATGAAGAATGGGGCCGTCTTAACGGTCTTCATTTACATAGAGAGGTTGGATGTTCATCTCATCGAAACTACGTCTCGTCTGCATACAAATAATGTCAAGAATCTGGTCAGGCAGGTAAATCAGCCCGCGCACTGGTTTCAGGTCAGAGAAAAGGAGGTTTTGACTCCTCCTTCGAACAAGACATCTTTATAACCGTTGTCTTGATTCGACTTTTCAACCAAAGCTGACCTGCCTCTGAAAGCTTCAACATCCTCTGCTACGACCAACTCCGACTAACTCGAACTTCATCATGGTGTCACTGGGACGACAGATGCTGGGCTTTGTCCTGGCCGTCATCGGCTTCCTGGGGTCCATCATTGTGTGCGCCCTGCCGATGTGGAAGGTCACGGCCTTCATCGGAGCCAACATTGTGACGGCGCAGGTCATCTGGGAAGGCTTGTGGATGAACTGCGTGACGCAGAGCACAGGTCAGATGCAATGCAAGATCTATGATTCTCTGCTGGCTCTGCCTCAGGACCTTCAGGCCGCCAGAGCTCTCGTGGTCATCGCCATCATCGTCGCTGTTTTCGGGGTCATCCTGGGCATCGCCGGGGGAAAGTGCACCAACTTCGTGGAGGACGCACGCGCCAAATCCAGAGTGGCCATCGCTGCTGGGATTATCTTCATCTGCGCCGGTGTTCTTGTTCTCATCCCCGTGTGCTGGTCTGCCAACACCATCATCAGGGATTTCTACAACCCCATCCTGACCAACGCCCAGCGGAGAGAGCTGGGCGCCGCTCTCTACATTGGCTGGGGCACAGCTGCACTTCTCATCCTGGGTGGAGCCCTCCTCTGCAGCTCTTGTCCACCCAAAGACAGCCCAGAGTATCCAGTCAAGTACTCCGGTGCCAGGTCCACGGCTACCAGCCGAGCCTACGTCTGAGAGCTCCATCCTACCGAGAGAGACTGTAAATTATTTTCTTGAGCGATTGATAGCACCACGAGTTGCCTCACTTTCTTTGCCACAGTGACACTCAGTGAGATCAGATTTTCTTTTGAGAAATTCAGAATCCTTTGATGGAAGTGAGAGAGTGTGTTTTTGAAGGAAGAAGAAACACAGTGCAAAGATGTGGAAAGAAAATCTGCCTCAATCACTGGACTGGATGAGAGCTATTTTATATCGAGCTTGTATCAAACCTTATTATTCTCTGAATGTCTGGTGGCAAATCAAAGCTGTGCTACAAGAATGTAAATGGTCCCAGGAGAGGGAAATGTGTACAATACCACTGGTATATTGTGAATTTATGTGTACAAATATCTTTATAAATATCGCTGTTGAATAGCATTATCAAATGACTGCTTTGTTTATTGATTTGTAATAAAACATTGACTTAATGATATTCTTTTGTCCAAGTGTCTTTTTAGATCACCCAGAGGTGAATTGCTACTCTCAAAAAAAACATGTGGATCTGTTGGTGTCACACTTCCAGCCTCAAGTTGGCAGCTGAGACCAACTTAACTTAACACAAGGGTCAAAGATGTTTGCAAAACAAGATTCCTGTAGCACAAGGGTCATGTGTGTGAATAGGTTTATGATAAACACAAAAAGCGAAACATTAAAAGTAGTGCAGCTGAGCAGAAGGCAGTCAAATAACAAGCTGCATTCAAAAACATCCAGTAGTTTGTTTAAGCTCTTTGTGCAGGCTTCAAACCCGTTCAGCCGGTTTTACAATGAGGACTGCCAAAGCTGTTTGATGGAACTGTTTATGTGTTAGTATCTAGGACAACCATACATATACAGAAGCAGCATTTAAATAAGGCTTTGATTGTGTTTAAATACATAAATGGCCATATACTGTGTATTAGTAACACTGTGGGACTGTGTATATGAGATTTTAAGAATAAGCACAGTGAGGAACCTTGCTACTTGGCAATAACGTGGCTCACAGATATGTTTTTTTAAAATAGTTTTTTGGACAACAGCTAGCTGTGTGACCTCTGAAGCAATATGTGAAGCAATTGTAAAGAGGACAAGATTAGAGCCTTGTTTTGTTCCATTTATCCTAGCCTCATCCGCAGATATTGGGGCTGTTTATATTCATACAGAATCACAGTGCGTGGAATGATTTTTGACGCAAATTACTTAAAACGACTACATTGCAATGGTATTAAAAGGGTCATGAGTCATGCACTGTTTCATAATGTTGTCAACACTCTCACAATCCTTTAAAGCTGAAACTCAACATGTTAACAACAGTCATTTCATCTAAAATCCAGTGAACCCGACAGCAAAGTCACACAGAATATGATACAGCATAAATGAGCAAATTGCAGCTTAAGAAAACTTAATCATTTTAGCAAACGTCCTGCAGGACATGCGTATTTGTGTTCACGTGACAAAGTCCTCCAGTGGGCTCAGGAGGAAGCCAGGTGACTGCTAATGATACGATGTTTGACGTGACGTTAATCACGGGAACGAGTCCCTTACAGGAATCGTACACTCATGCTCGCTTCTCGTCACAGATTAGTTCTTCTCATACTTTCTCTTGTGTCAACTGTAACCACCATTTAGAGTCTGGGTTGCTGTTTAGCATAAACTTTACATATACGCCTCTAAAGAAAATACACCACATGTAGTATAACCTGGATGTGCAGTGACTTTCAATATGCTGCAGTCAGAACAGGGGTGGGAGTATTTTCCCACTTTCAAATAATTTCAAACAAAGTTCTCAGCCATCTGAACTCATTGCCTGACTATGTAAGAGCTGGTAGATTTACAGCGTTAACTAACATGAGGGCAGCTGTGGCTAAAGTGTCTCTGGGCAAGACAATGAACCCAGAGTTGGCCCCAATGGCAGTCCACTGATGTGTAAATGTGTGTATGAATGGGAGACATTGTAAAAGGCTTTCAGTACGACTTTGTCAAGCGTATAAGTGAATAACAATTGCTGTTTTATACACGTGATGTATTGGTGATACTTAATAGTTCGTCTAAATAAATGCTAATTTTTTTTGACATATTAGAAAGTGTTTCCAATCTTTTTTCTGCAAACAGGAAGTGTCACTGAACAAGTTATTTCCAACTAATGTTTTATGTGAACTAAACCAAACAAACTGTGTCCCCAAAAAGAGTTATTTCGCTCATTAGTGATGGTAACGTTGGACATTTTTATTATTTCCCATTTCTACACCACAGTCAACACTGGCTTCTTTTAAACTGCCTCTCTTGAATCTTATCCCAGTGTTTGTCTTATAACCACCATGAGGAAGATCCCCTAGCTTCAAGTATGTCTTTCTTTCCTGAAACCTAAGTTATGTTTGTGCCAAAACCCAACCAAAACCTAACCACAGCACTGCAACATCATACTGTGGAACTTTTTTTAACAACTTGTAATGTTTTGGACGGCACAGACGAACAATACTGAATGTCCAGTAGAGCATCAGATCAGAACGTGCTTCTGTATGTTGTTCAAGGGGGAAGTTAAACACAATGCATCTGTTAACCTAATCTGGAACTTTTTTTTTTTCCAAGTAGTTCCACTGTTTGACTTTCAGTCAGTGATCTCTACACGTCTGTCATGCTCCAAATCATCACAAACGTGATGTCAGCATAGCGCAGCAGGGTGTGTCACAGTTGTGAACGCACCCTGCTCTGTTTGTACATTTTTACCTGGTATCACATTCCTGAGCTGACCTCTGCCACTTGAGAGTGAATCTGCCTAAACCAGTTAGAGATGAATGATTGTGTGCCAGAGGAAAACAATGACGATTGAACAATTTCAGAATGCTGTCGTCTTCCAGTAACCAAGCAATAAATAAAAAGTGGGTTTCAGTAAATAAACCTATAAAACTGAGAAAGATTTTTTCTACTTTCAGTCTGTATAAACTGACTTACAGGCAGGTAAGACGCATATAAACAAATGTCAGCACCCAAAGACGTATTAATGAGAGAAAAAAACTGAGGAGCCACAACTCTTGGAAAAGTTTGCAGAGAACAACAGCATTTTCAGGTTATGAGTCTCTTTTTAGTTGTAAAGTTGATATTTAAAATATTCATTGATTAATCAATCAAGCAGACTTTAGTTAAATAGTGCTTTTCCTCCAAATGAAATCTAACACACAGCGCTTTACAGAACAGAAAGAATGAAGGGGAAAAATTCAGAAAAGCCCAAAAAGACAATAATAAAAAAACTGAACTGGTGAAAGACAAATAAAATGGATTAAAATATAAGTTAGAGTTTAGAAACGCAAAATAAGACAATAATTAAGATGCAACTGATTAAAGTGTATAAATTAAGAAAGGAAGAAATGAATGAATGAAATCTGTTTTTAAAATTGTAATGATGAATAAATAATCAATCAAGCAAATCAAGTCAAATAAAAAAAAAAAAAAACATCAAATCAAATCAAATCAAAAGCCAGATTTAATAAGACCTGAGGATTCTACAGAGTTCACAGGATAAACACAAATCCAACGAATAGGTAGGACCAACAAAAGGATTCTAAATTTTGTTCTAAAACAGAACGGTAACTAGTGCAGAGACTTCAAAATCTGTTAAACTGGGCTTCTCCTTCAGTTCTGGTCTCAGTCAACAGTGATGTGCAGATATAATCCTCTTGGGGGCACCAGAGAGGAGAACGCTACAGTCGTAAATCCTGCAGGTAATACAAGCATGTAGTAGTGACTCTGTACTGGGTTGAGAGTGAACCGGTCGCACTCTGGTCATGTTCTTCAAATGATAAAATGCAGTCTTCAATCTGCTTCTGATGTCAGGTCACCAGTAGGTTTTAATTCACATCAAGCAGTGATTTATTTCAAATTATTTTCTAATCGTGCTTAATGGTCTGCACGTATGTCTACAAACAGAAACAAATAACTGTTTGTATTGAGTTTACAGCAAACTGCAGGACAGACTGATTTACACTCACTGCAGATCTGCATCCTTGTTTTTGTTAAAGCATCATGTGGATGATACGGTAGCGCTTTCTGTCAAACACTCTCCACCCTCATTTGAAACTGCAGAGAAACTGCCAACATTTGTAGTTTGTTAGCATATTATCTGTCACATCTTTCCTTGTTCAGAGCACCAGCAACACCTCGGGTTACACAGGCCTCATCCAGCCAGAAGAACAATTGAAACCTTTATTGTTCTCACACACAAAGAATCCTGCAAGGCAGGTATTCAGGACTTCTCATGTATTCTCAATAGCTTGGCTTGCACACCTCCCATTCCACTTCAGCTGCACATTCACACCTGAGGAGCTCTTAATATTCTCTCAGAGACTGCCGGGGAGAGGAGACGATGGCTTCCATGGGGATGCAGATGGCCGGCTGTGCCCTGGCCATTTTTGGCTGGATTGGGGTGCTCATCGTCTGCGCTACACCCACGTGGCGGGTCACGGCCTTCATTGGCAACAACATAGTGACATCGCAGACCATATGGGAGGGCATCTGGATGAGCTGCGTGGTTCAGAGTACGGGCCAGATGCAGTGCAAGGTGTACGACTCCATGCTGGCCTTGAGCACAGACCTCCAGGGGGCCCGTGCTCTGGTGGTGGTTTCCATTATCACAGGCATCGCAGGGATCCTAATCGCCTTCGCTGGTGGAAAGTGCACCAACTTCATTCCAGACGCGAGGGCCAAGGCGAGGGCTTCAGTGGCAGCAGGGGTGATATTGATCATCAGTGGATTCCTCTGCCTCATCCCCGTTTCCTGGACTGCCAGCATTATTATCAGGAACTTCTACAACCCTGTGGTCGTAGATGCCCAGAAAAGAGAGCTGGGGGCATCTCTTTACATCGGCTGGGGAGCCGGGGGACTGCTGGTCCTGGGAGGGGCTCTTCTATGCGCCAGCTGCCCCCCGAAGGAAGATTATGCCCCTTCTGTGAAGTATCTCATAAACAAAGAAAACAGCCGAGTGGATTCATTCCGATCTGCGACACCGACAAAAACCTACATTTGAGTTTTCTAAAGGGACTCGTTTAGCTCTGGTTGATGACTGTCTGTCTTTGTCTTCAAGATATAAAAGAAGTTTGGTGTTTATGAGCTACTGTGATGCATCAAGAAAAAGGACTTGCACACAAACAACCGAAAATGAAGGAAATCTGCACTTTGGATTTGTACTCTGAATGAAGCTCCCTGTCTGAGAATGCTTTACTCTTGGTAATATGTGGGGATAACCGTTTAAATTATAGAAACTCTTTGTTTTGTATTTGTGGGAAAGCGGCTGGTTTCAGTTGAATTTTTTTCTTTTTATTGCACTATGTAGCTTTTTGTTATTTGATATGTGCGATTTCTTTTTTTTTCCACAATAAATGAGCTTACCTACAATGTGTTTCTCTCTGTTGAAGTGTTTATATACTTTTTTTATTTTATTTTTTAAATGCACCATTGGTTATTTAAACCAAACACCAAGAGAACCTGTTTGTCGGGTACTTACCAGAGATCGCTATGCAGGAAAACAAAACCGGTGACTCAGGGACTCAGAATCCTGTTGGTTAAAATGTGTGGTCAAGCATGATCTGCTCTTTAGAGTTTCGCCTGTCAGAGTTCAGTTCTTAACACTGCTTTGGAGGAAATAAATAATTTAAAACAGCTATTTAAGTGGACATAAATGTGTCACAAAAGTTAAAACTGTTAATGTTCATTTTCCCTCCAGAATCTCAAATTTTAAAAAATGTTTTCAGTTTGGTTTTGCGTTTAAGTTGAAACATCGTCTGTTCACAGCTCCTCCAGCCTGATGTTTTGTTTTCTTCTGTTATCTGTCTGCAGATCACAAAGAATGCAGGTTCAAATTACGTCAGTGAAGTCTGACACACACAGATTCTGGCACATATTTCTCCACTTCCTGCTTTCTCTGTCCCATTTTAACCCACAGTGACGAAGGATTAAAGTTAGATGTTAGTATCAATAAGGTCTTCAGATCAATCTCATGTGAAAGTGAATTATGTTGCAAGATGCTACGTCACTTTAATGTTTTACACCTTATCAGTTCTGTCTTTATTCCTACTTTTCCACCTTTTATTACTGAAGTACTCTTAATTTTCAGCACAGCAGCAACATTACTATGAAAAACATGAAGATGCCCTTACAATACATGTACACCTTTTCTTAAATAAAAGAAAATATCATCATAAACACACCAATTACTCCAACAGTCTACATATTTATCGAAAAAAATATTTTTAATCTGAAAGATTTTTAAATTTATATTCTTTAAAGCACTTTTAACAATTAAAATGGCCTCAAACATCACCTAAATAATCAAATTTTAAAAAGCTGATACTAATTCATTAGTCAAAAACACCAGATCTGATTCTTGAATAAACAAAGCTATTTATAAACAGGAGATGACTCATTTCCCCCTGATTCGTAAATCTGTTTCCTCCCGTCATCGCAGAGCGAAACACACCTTATCAGTGTTCTTATCTGTAGAGACATACTGCTATCTAGTGGCTCTCTTCCTCCATGACTACAAAATCCCTGAATGTTTTTTAAATGATGTCATTGATGAGAAACAACTTCAGCTTTACTAAAAACCCCTCTGTGGTTGCTGTTATCATGTATCTTATATCTTTGTATCAGCCACTAATGATCTTTCTGTTTGTCTGTTTGGATCTTTTTTCACTAATCCTTATGTTACTTCAGTTTACACCATCTCTTGGTGTCACCTGAACTGAACTGAAAATCAACATCTGAATGTTATCCGGAGCCCTATTAACTGATCACCTCCAGCAACGTGTCAGGATGTGAATAAATCAACTATAACGTCTGCTCTTGTCAACCCTCTGTGTCTCCCAAGGCGCCCGGTCCGTCCATGGCTCTGCAGGAGCTGGGCATCAGCCTGTCCATGGCGGGCGTCGCTGGGACCATCCTGATCTGCGCTCTGCCCATGTGGAAGGTGACGGCATTCATCGGCACTCACCTGGTGGTCATGCAGGTGTTCTGGGAGGGTTTGTGGATGACCTGCGTCAGCGAGTACACGGGTCAGATGCAGTGTAAGCTCTACGACGCCCTGCTGGACCTGTCGCCCGACCTCCAGGCGGCGCGCGGCCTTATTTGCATCAGCCTGGTCTTGGGATGTCTGGCGTTCCTCATCTTCCTGCTGGGAGCTCGCTGCACCAACTGCCTGAGCCACCCGCGGATCAAGGCCAGGGTGGTGCTGAGCTCCGGGGCCATCTTCTGCCTGGCGGCCCTCACGACCATAGTCGCCGTTTCCTGGACGGCCAACACCATCATCAGCGATTTCCACAACCCCCGAGTCCCCGAGGTGCTGAAGAGAGAGCTCGGAGCGGCCATATACATAGGCTTTGTGACATCTGGGCTGCTGTTCTGCGGGGGAGCCATACTGTGCACAAGCTGTCCACCACAGAGGGCCAGGTTCCCCTCCAGTGGGTACACACTAGCCAAGACTCCCACACGGAGCAGCTACGCCATCAAGAACTATGTGTGAAGTTCAGACTGAGAGCTGGACACACACATCAGGTGTGTTTAGGCGCTTTAAACACAAACAAGTCACCAAAATGTTTTGAATTGTGATGTTACGATTGGCCATATACAGATACATGCAGCTCATATGTACTAGTAGTTACTGAAAAACATAAAGCAACATGTTTAAATGTATTAAACTGTAAAGGTGTGCTTGCAGAATAACTTTTGTTAGCATGAATTTGTATACCATTTGCAATACAGTAACTTTAACTCTGTCTACTGTGGCATCAGTGAAATCCATTTGCAGACGTTTATTATTTTTATGACCTTTTGAAGTATTTGCCATCGCGTTATTAGATCTCCATACATGTGACATGTTTCCCTCTGTGTCTAATAGTTATGACTGACATCTCACACTGGAAATAGCTGCAGTCTGTCCACATGAATTCCCTCATGAATTTCACTAGTTTTATGAGGAATGAATGTGTTCCTTATACAAAGAGAGTCAGTGGACAGAACCCTGTAGCTTAATGCCCGCATGTTTGTGTCCGGTGGAAAAATTGCATTATTCATGTTTAAGTCGCCATTTTTAGTAAAATGTGAGAAGCTTGTGTGCTTGTGATTAGTATCCTAGAATCCAAAATAAAAACAAGAGTCGTCATGTGTAATCTGAGTCACTGTTCTGCAGCCAGTAACTCCACGAAAGGATTCTCCTGTTGGGAGAGCAGAAGTCCTGACATCGGTCACAACATGTGGCTATTTAAATCAAGTTTCCACTTAGAAATGTGGCCCAGTGGCTGAAACACCAGAGGACAGTGGAAGCTTTGTTTTTCCCCCCTCTATGCAGAAACTGGGAGAAAGGGATTGTTTTGAAACCATGGCAGAGCAAACAGAGGGATTTCCCTCCTCCACCCAGCCGAAGCCACGTCGTGCCTTCTTTTCAAGAATACCAAAGAACTGGTTTCCCCTTTCTGAACAGACATGCAAAGCAGACAGGCGATAACACACACACACTGCCTCACATGCACTCACACGTTGAAATAACACCCCACCCCTCGGCGCTCTGCTGCCAGCTGTTTCTGGTTAGGCAGTCGGGCCTGCAGTGAAGAGGAGGACGAGGCAGGCCGGAGTCATGAATCGGCAGCTGGAGCTCGCTGCCCTCGGCCTGGCCGTCGTCGGGTGGCTGTGCGCCATCCTGACACGCTGCCTGGCCCTGTGGAAGGTGAGCGGCACTCTGGACAACGCCACGGCCACTCTGCCTGCCTACTGGGACGGGGTGTGGCTGGAATGGGATCACTGGGATTTAAACAACGATGGCAGCCTGCACTGCTCCTTCTATCAGTCTCTCATGTCTCTTTCTGGAAGTTTTCGGACTTGGAGGGCCCTGATCATGTCTGCTATCGGAGCTGGAGCCTTCGCTACAGTGATTGCAGCGGTAGGGTTGGTGTGGTTCCCTAAACGCGGACAGGTCAAAGTGTTTTCTGGTGGTCTCTTTGTTTTGTCTGGGATCCTGCTGCTGGTTCCCACAGCCTGGACGTGCCATCACACCAGTCAGCCACTGGAGGGCGCTGTGCTGCTGAGGAGAGACTGGGGACCTGCCTTGTACCTCGGATGGATCTCCTTTGGCCTGATGCTGGTCGGCGGGGTGTTTCTTACCACCAGATGCCCCACTGCTGAGAACCAAGCGGAGCCGCGTGAAGACAGCAGGTATCCGAACCTAGAGGAGGAGGCTAATCACCCCCTGAGCAGGATCAACAGGACTACGTTCACGAGCAGCCAGTATGAACGCAGATCACAGCCCATCTGAGACTGACATGGATGTAATATTTAACAGAGTGTGTGTGTGTGTGTGTGTGTGTGTGTTTGAACTGGAAAATCATTGATATGTGAAATGGCTGTGGGTAGATGTAACAGTTGAGGCTGCACGTGTTGAGTAATGATGCACTGGTTTAACTCAGAGTGAACTTAACATCAGAGCATGCAGACGAAGCCTTGTTTCCTGTGATTAGTTTTATTAAAAGGGATGCGGGTAGAAGTTTGACATTGCATCTTGTTTTGCTGTGTTTTGTGAATCTAACAAACGTCTGCATTTCTAATTGCCACTATTTAAATTTACTGTAAAACGATGCTTCTGAGTGTCTGCGGCTTTACTGGATGAACTAATTCTGCTGATAACTGTGTGAGACTGAAGGCTTACAACTGCCTGATCATTTCAACACATTGTAATGTCTTAAATGTGACGATGATTCTACGATCGGTTTCTGTTGCTGTACTGCACAAAAACGTTGCCCTACATTAGAGTAATGCAACTTTACATACATCTTAAAGGACACTGTGGAATAAAGGATCTGAAATGATTAAGGAACACTTGTTTACAGGAGTTATTTGACTTAAGTCATGCACTACAGTGGTTTTAATTAATAACATCACAGAGCACTTGAGGTAATAACATGAGCAATCTTGATGGGTGCTTGATGAAAAGGAAGCAGCCAAAATCTTTAGAGCATCTTTATAGTAAAATTATAAACAGATGTGACGCTGGATTGTTCAGATTTCTATTTGCTGATCAGTGTTTTGCAGGTATTTCATGGAATATTAAGTCTGAAACATAAGGACACAACATACAGACACTTCAGTTTGTCTGATTTCACAATCAAAGATTAACTCGAGCAGAAAAACATCAGCTGCACAATATTTTTGTGCAACTGTTTAAAAGAATCTTAAGTGTTTTTACAATAAGCACATTTCCTACATGTCGGATTTAGAGTTCTCTACTTTGAGCTGAAAGCCTCAAATCAGTTTGAGCATCAACATTTCTTTGAGTTGTTTGATTGTGAAGGTGTTTTGTCTCCATTTTTCTGCAGTCGTAACATCTGGATGTTGGAGTTTTGTGTGATTCCTACAAAACTTTTGCAAATAAAAAAAATTCTAAAAATGTTGTGATCAATGTTTCTTCATTATTCAGTTTGTAATGGAAAAGGAAAATGATTGTGCGCGTCCTTTGGGGTTGTATTAAACATTTCATTTGTAAAGTTCCTATTACAGAAACATTTACCAACACTGTTCTGCAGCCTTTTCTGAATGCTGTTGAGATAAATGGTAAAATAATCGATATATGTACAAACAGAGGCAGACATGCTTTAAACTAAACTAGTTTGAATACTACAGTTTTTTGTTTGACCTTGGAAATGGACAAAACTGAGATATGAGGAAAAATACACAGTAAACACACGCAAGACAAGATTTTCGATAATATTTAATATTTATTTGCTACACAGCAAATGTGTTCATTAAAAGAAAATATAAATTATCTGGTTAAAGTAATGATCCATAATATCAGGATGCTGAGATTGACAACATGGCACACAAAAGCTGAAGGAAAACAGAAACAACCTTTTCCGGATGTTCTGCTAATTGTCTCAAATAAGAAAAAGAAAAAATGGAATAAATAAAGTGAAAACAGCTCACACGTTTTTACTGATCTTTAGTGAAGTGCTGAAGCTTATTTTTGAAACACATTCCATTTCACTCCCTTTCTCTGTCAAATTAATCATGTAAACAACATGAATGCCTGGAGTTAGGATGAATCAGAGCATTAATAGAGTCTTTTACAGAGGTCTGCGGTTTGTGTGCCCTGGTGAAGCGCGTTAATGTGGATAAGGTGCAGGGTACCGACTGGCCGGCTGACTGACTATAGCTTCTCGTCTCCCTCCTCCACATCCTTCAGACTGAGGACCTCCAGAGAGCCGCGGCCTTTAGTCTCGCAGCGGATCAGCTCATCGATCTCCCTGAAGCAGCCGGGATCCACCAGACACACCTGAGGGAGACAATGAAGGAGGAACAGAGGGCAAAAACGGAGTTAGTACAGTGATAGCAGGCTGGTCAGTTTTAAAGCTTTCAGCTGAACTGCACAGATCGAGTCTTGATAACAGATTTCTTCATGATATTAAATGAAGCCACTCCTCACCATTTCCAGCTCCTCATCAAAGTCTTCGCTCTCCACCACCTGCAGAAGCGGCTTCAGCTTCTCCTTCAGCCTCTTGGCCTCTTTGGCTGGCAGCACCAAGCGCAGCCTCATGTGGGCTCTCTGGATCTCCATAGTCTCCTTCAGCTGCCGGATCACCTCCAGAGCCTGAGAACAACACGACAGATCGATACGTCAAGGTCATACAAAAAGATCTCCTGCAATAAGGCCTGAATAATGTGGAGGGACGTTGACACTTTCAGCTCAGTTTCTACAGAACTGAGAAGTGACTTTTTTACACCTTAAAACCTCTGGTGCTGCGGTAAATGCATCACTGATGCTCCAGAAACTTCTTGGACATGGAAATAAACTATGACAGGATGACGTGACAGCAAAGACGGAGGTGAGAGGCTGACTACCTTTGAGTAACTAGCTTCAAAATGCATCCGGTTACTGACTGATAGCCGATAAGATAGATGTTAAAATCAGGAAGACAACATGTAGCTGTACTTTGTCTATCAGTGTCTAAACTGGGAAGATTTTAAAACGATCTATTTTCTCATTTTAGAGTCAAGACTTAATCTGTAAAAAAAAATTATTCACCAACTGGTAAGAGATTCTGACGTTTCAAAATCAAGAAAACAAAACACATATTTCGTGCGTAGAGCAGAAACATGTTGAGGTTAATTGGTGATTCTAAATTGTCCGTAGGTGTAAATGTGAGTGTGCTTGGTTGTCTGTCTCTAAGTGTAGCCCTGTGATAGACTGGTGACCTGTCCAGGTGAACCTGCCTTCACCCTGAGTCAGTTGGGATAGACTCCAGCCCCCCACGACCCTAGTGAGGATGGATGCTTTGTGCTGTGCATAAACATGTCCTCACCTGCTGCTTGGTGCTCTTGTTGGCCTTGACGGAGTAGTGGATGTCCTTCATGGCCCGTTCGATCAGGTTGACCGTGTACGGCCTCTTGGTGTCGGGGTTCACACACTTCTCCGCCACAATAGTCGCAATGTCCCTGAACATGGTCTCCAGCTGCGACTGCCTTTCCTTGTCTGACACTTGGAGCTCTCCTTTGGCCAAGATCTTAAAAAAATACAACAAATCAGAATCAGTTTTATTGCCAAGTAGGTTTTCACAGATGAGGAATTTGATGTGGGGATTTTTGTCGTTTTTTTTTTTTTGCATTGAAGTAAATGCTAAGAAGTAGAGAATTTAAAAAGGCAGCGGGAAGTATTGCAAGTGAATAGACAGTAAATGCAACAAAAACAATATAAAGTGGGTGTTTTACCTCAAGTAAAAAGCACGAGTGGCAAATCCAAGAAATATGTAAGAATGTGCAAATTATTCACCGGAGAATGTGTAAATTTACAAACGACCCAAGATGTGCAACCTTTTTAAAATGCTGTGCCAAACATTTGAAAGAAACATCAGATATGAACACAATAAACAAAAGCACATCCTGTCCAGGCCTCAGGTTACCTGATGTTCAGGAAGGAAGGTGTTTCTTACCTGTTTACAGATTTCTGTCAGGTCATCCGTCCCAAAAGCTTTGGTCAAATCGTCCTTCTTGGCCACCTGACCTTTGGACACATTAACGAAGACAGAGTGCGTCTGCAGGACTTCATCCAGGTCTTTCTCTCTGGAGGAAACACAACAAAGTTTGGGACATTTAGCGTCGTTTGTTCTGGCTGGTTTCTTTGGCTGAGAGTCTGTGAAGAACCCAGAGAGGCAGCAAACTGACAGATAAGTGGATTAAACACATATTAAAGCAGAACTCAGTAACACTTTCTGGGCGTTGGCGGTAAACGTTACTCACGCTCCTGATCTCCAGCTCATAACTTTGTTTTTGTAACAGGCGATTTCGAAGCGCTTCCCTCCTTTCTTCATCCGAACCACCGCCACGTTGGTCAGCCGGATCTGGTTCGTGGGCGTAAATATCGACATTTCTGAGCTCAATAAGACACAAAACTGTGTCCAAAACACTACTGATAAGAAGAACCGGACTACAGCGTCGTCGGTGCCATTCGAGTGTGTTTTCAATGATGCTCCGGTGTGAAACATGGACCTCAAACAATAGTTCCGGTCACATGCTTTTTTTTCTCTCTTGTCTTCCTTTAGTCGTTTTTAGTTTATAACTTGACTATTTAAAATATTAAAACAATCTAAAATGTCTGTAAAGATCGATTTTGTAGAAACAAATAGTATTCATAACATTTAGACGTAATTACAATGTGCTTGCTAATTAAAAACCTCTGAAGGTTTCATTTATTCACCAAATGATTTAATAAATAATTTATCTGACTCAATAATTTTGCTATTCTGTGATATGAACTAATTGCTGATACGTAAAGTTTTATTTTAGATGTTTTAACCTGAACTATTGTTATTATGTCTGACTTTAAGCCCGTGGATATATTATATATTGTAGTATTTCATAAATCTTTACAGTTTGTAGCATTGCTAGCTAGCATGTATTGCTAGCAGTCACTTCGCTTTTTATTTGCTGCCGGTAATACAAGGTTGATTTTTGGTCCCATCGTCTTGTTATGTGGTGAGTTATGATTAATTATTGTCTGCTTTGTGGTCATTACTTATTTTACTCATCGCGACCCTATAAACGCAACCTCAATTTTGAAAGTATGAAGCGGAAGTGTTAGCATGCTATTCCTTTGGCATTGACGCGAACTTTACTAATTTTAGGCTGCTGTTCTACTTTGTGGCCACAGGGGGGCAGCAAACACACTACTTTTCCTCTGTCATTGTAAATTTAATACCGGTTTGCCGTAATATTAGTTTAATTTTGTTACTACGGTTTTCATGGATGCCGAGCTTGATGGTAATTATTTTGGTTTTCATAAATTGTGTGCACAACTTAGAACTGAAAGCTAAATGTGTGTTTTGATTTAGCTAAGGTTTGTAGCATTGCTGGCTAGCGTGTGTCTTTAGCCATACACCTTCCTTTTGTTTACGCGAGGTAACTTTAGTTTTCGGGTTAATCTTGTTGTTGTTGTTTACATGGTGCTGATGTAGGATTAGCCACTGTCTGACTTGTATGTGTTTCTAACGTGTTGCTAGCCAACTAAAAGTAAACTTTGTTCTGAAAGTAGCAAGCAGAAGAGCTAGCATGCTATAGACTGCAGTTCTTCGCCAACAAACACAATGTCAGTGTAGATTAAGATCAATAAAAAAATCTTTAATTGCCTTATTCATTTATTAATTCCTACGACATTTCTCAGTGTGACTTATGTGTCTAAATACTGTTAGACGCTAATCGTGCTGTCTTATTCTCGCATGTAAGTCTGTGCGATCGCTTTATTTTTTTCGCGGTCCCTCCTGTAAGTTGAAAGAATTCACCGGAAACGGAAATATGATTTTACGTCTGCATTGACGGTGTTTTGACGAATTTGCTGTTGCAATTCTCAACTCTGGCCACAAGAGGGCAGCGTGTGGCAACCGCCGCAAGCCTGTTTATAGCGGCAGACACAACCTTATAGGTTTACTCTTGACCACTCGAGTGCAGTATATTTTATTATTGATGGTTATAAATTCAAAATGCCAATACCTGCTATATTTTATTTTATTTTATTTTTGTCGTGTAATGTTTTTTTACTATAAATTCTTTCATAAAATACTCCACTTTACAGAGAATTTCAACTTTAAATATCACACAAAATATCCTAACGAGCCCTTCTGGACAGTAAAGCCGACACGGTATCGACAGAATGTAATAAACATGTGAATCATAAACTCCGTACAGGAGAAATGAGGTCAGGCACTGTTTAGTTTTACGACACTGTTGCTTTGAAACGCGGTCACCGTACAAAGAACTACATTTCCCAGCGTCCTCATCGGCAAAACAATATGGTTGCGCGCAGCACTAGCTGCTGAGGATTGTGTAGTTTAATTTAGCTACCACAGTTTGCAGCGATGCTACGTTTGTTCGTAACTATTTTGGTTTTCACAGGTGGGGTGTCTACTTCTGATAGTAGAGGTGAGTTTATTTAAATATTTAATGAAACTGGAAACGGACTTTATGTCATGTTTTAGCTAAGGTTAATTAGCATCAACAGTTAGCATGTAATGCTAGCCACTCATCCGCCCTTTATTTGCTGCAGGAAGCATTAGTTTGGACTTTAACTATGTTGTTGGGTGGTTCTGATTTGGATTTAGCCGTTCCTGCTGTGTGTTTAGGATTCATATCACTGGTGTGAAGCAGAGAACTCAGTTGTGTTTCCTCCCTGCAGCCTCGCAGGATGTCCACAGTCCCAGTGAGAAGTATCTCATGTCGATATGGCACAACAGGCTGTACGTGTATTCAGCTGCTGCACTGCTGTTCGGGATCTGGTTCTCCCTGAAGGTGGCACTGAAGAACGTGAGTCATCTCAGCTGCTGTCCTGTTTGTTTTTCTAAGTTTCCTCAGTGTCTGCTGGCACTGCTCACGCTGCAAAACTTTAACATCTTGAATTTAAAGGAAGCTTCATCTGCAGCTTCACTAACTGTGTATTTTCCTTTGCATTGACTGTCAACCGCTGTGTGTTTGCAGAAAAGCTTCTCTAAAGATGCCAGCTGGGTCCGCAAAGCTGAACAGAAGAAGAACGACAGCTCTGACAGAGACACTGAGGTCCATGTGTTGGGAGTTAAGATCTTCTACGGCTCACAAACTGGAACTGCAAAGGTGCTTATATTATTTACTGACAACTTAAACGTTCTCTCCATCCTGAGAAGTCAACAAACACAAGAGATTTGTATTATGTAAAACTACATGAACCCCTCTGTAGACACCGACATGAAGCCAACATTTTGTGACCATGCACACTGTCCACAGGTCTTCAAACAATGCATGTTATGGGCAGAGACTTTACGAATACACTTGGTCATCCACACCTTTATAATTCATCATCCATAAATGCCTACATTCATAAATAGTTGTGATTGAAGTAGTCGCTGCTGGACTTTGGAGGTGCTTTGATTTATTAATGTTTTCTACCAACTGAGCTAAAACATGGTGTGAAGTTGTAAATTCTCCAGAAACCTCGTGCCACATCTTCCCTCTGTCCTCAACACACACCTCAGGAACAACCACTGGCTCTGTGCTACAGTCCAATCTGTAACCTGCTGCTGCAGCCTGTCAAAAGTGCAAAGTCACAGCGAGCCTTTTAGAAACATCCACAGGAGCTCCGTGTGTTTTTCTGTGTTTGATTTTGAGGGGCAATGGGACTGTTTGTGTAGCAGATTGATCCAAACTTGTGGAAACGTGGACATGTGGAAAACATGAATTGGTCTTTATGGGTAGAACCAGTAAACCATAGTTATGTGTAACCAAATATTTAACACCTTATACAAAAGTGAGATTGCAGTTATGCTCTATTCAGTCGAAGCTAACCGGACTGGTAGCTTACATGGCAAAATGAAAAATCTGCAGCGTCTGATGAGAGTTTTTGTTTGCTCAGGGGTTTGCAAACGAGCTGTCAGAGGAGGTGAAGACTTTGGGAATACCGGCGGAGGTGATTGACATGAAAGACTACGATCCAGATGATCAACTTGCCGATGAGGTACGTTTGCTCCAAAGAGAAGATGCTTCTTCCATGTTTAGTGAAGTACAAAGAATGCTCTGCAGGAACAATGGCTCTCAGTTTGAGGATGTCTTCAAACAAGTACCTGAACCCCTGCCAGCCTGAGAGCTGCTCCTCCGTACGTAACCCTTGTATAAATAAAGTGACTAATTAATGCATCTGGTAATTGTTGCGGCTCTGCTAAGAGGATAAGCACACTGTATACACTGAGCTAAGAAGTTTCTCTAGAGTGTTAATTAAATCTCTAGCTGCAAGCACATAAGACCTGGCAACACGAGGCAGGTCTTAATTGGAACAGAATGAATCAAAGTGAAATAAATCATTACTGTTTTATTTTGAAAGCCTGACAACAAACAGTACGATTAGCCCCGAGTTGTGTAATTTTCCATCTCGGCCTCTCCTTCATTTTTCACTGGTTTGATTCTTCAGACGGCAAACAAACAGGACAAATGTGTTACACTAATCCTGCTCAGCTGAAGGAAGATGGATTATTTTCATCAGTGTTTTCCTTTTATTTTTGTGGGCAAGGCACAGGCACAGTGTGCTCTGCCCAAAAAATAACAGGAAAGCACTGATGAAAACAGCACCGCATTGAGAGATGAATAGGAGAATGGTTGACTGGCACACAGCAGGACGAAAAAAGCTATTTATTCAACAGGACAATGATACAGTTTTTAGTGATAGAAAATCTCCACAGGAGGTCTGGCTGCAGGCACCAGTCGCTCTCAGCGTGCAGCTGATCCTCAGTGCTCTGGTCAGCCATCAGGGAAATACAGCTATTTGTTTGGCATTTCAGACACATCAGTATTGGCCCTGAAAATAACACATCAGCCAGCCTGCTTGTCCAGGACGTAACCTGCCCTTTGCTCAGTGTCAGCTGGGATATTCTCCAGCCCCCCACAGCTCTCTACAGGAGAGGTCGGGTACAGCAGATGCATGGATGGAATCGTTGAAACGCACTTCACAGCTGGCAAAAACCAATAAATTAAGTTCTCTGTTTATATATTGGACTTTTTGCCTTTATTTTAGAGTGGAAGAGATAGACAGGACAGGCGGGAGAAGAATGGGGAGAGACCTGCAGCAAATGGTCGTGAGCGGGAGTTGAACCCACGACCGCTGCGTCGGGAAACTATAGCCCCTGTTAATGGGTCACCCGCTCAACTAAGTGAGCTGTAGGGGCGCTCAATTAAGTTCTCTGTTAATAAAAAGTTTTTGAAAAAACTGTAATCTGTAGCTGTCACAGGCCGATAAAAATCTTGTCTAATCCCTGCATTTGGTCTGCATGAGGTAACTGGACGGTCTTTCTGTCTGTCAGGCACTCTACATTTATACATGTATCCTGTTCTTATTTAACTGTTGTTGTGTTTACCTCTCTGTTCAGTGCATCAGTAAGTCGGTCTGCGTGTTTCTTGTGGCCTCCTACACTGATGGACAGCCCACTGAGAACGCTGAGTGGTTCTGCAAGTGGCTGGAAGAGGCATCCACTGACTTCAGATACGGGAAAACCTACCTCAAAGGCCTCAGATATGCAGTGTTTGGTCTTGGAAACTCTGTCTACGTTGGCCACTATAATACGGTGAGAAATGGTTTCCGTATTGAGTTCCATATGACTGCTGGTGATATGCTTTGCAGTCAGGTAGTCAAAGAACATCCAGAGCTACAAGGCTGACAGCTGCAGCTCAGGAGTGTGAAATATATTCCAGGTCTCAGGCTCATCAAAATCCCAACTCACTCAGCTTTCAGAAACCAGTACAAAGTCCAAGGATTACTTTCAAATCTTACTTTTCTTCATCCTTCTCCAGGTGGGTAAAAACGTGGACAAGTGGCTGTGGATGCTGAGCGGGATGCGAATCATGACCAGGGGAGAAGGCGACAGTAACGTGGTGAAGAGCCGTAACGGCAGCGTCCAGGCAGACTTTCAGGCTTGGAAGGTCAAGTTTCTGAACCGCCTGCAGGCTCTGGCCAGAGGAGAGAAGAAGAGCTGCAGTGGGAACTGCAAGACGGGAGGCTCCTGCAAGAACAAGAAGAAAGAAAAACAGGAGGAGGAGGAGAAAGCTGCTGCACGGAATAACAGCTCCGAGGTAACGACAGAAAGCTGGGTTTAGACCTAAAAGCAAATGAGCAGTAATCTAGCATATTATCAGGGCAGATGTTTATTGACTATGTCTCAGCTGACTAATTAGACATTACTAATCGAGTTATATTAATTGCATAATTTCACTATTCTAAGATTTATGTTCTCATAGGCGTAATGAAACAGATTATTTGTATGTCTTGGCCCTGAATGAACCGCATCATTAATGAGAGGCATGATGACATTTGGCTCGTTCTCACAGCAACAGCTTGTTGTTTGCTGCCTGTTAACTCTGTGTTCGAAGACAGAAGGACGGACGACAGAAGGTCAGAAGTCAGCGGAGTTAATACTGTACACGAAGCCTGTTGTTTCTGCGTTTATGTAGTTTCTGATAACAGGCTGCTGACTGTCAGTCGATGTTGTAAAGATTGATCACTATGACAAAATAGTGTTTACTATTCAAAAGAAAGTGCCTAAAACCTGTCCTGTATCATCATTTACATTCCAAGATGTAAAACCTTTGTGCCTCTGCTTGAACAGCTTTTGGGTTGTGCTTTAACAGGTGCACGACACAGTTTGAGTCGCTTTTCAGTAGCGATAGAACTCGAAGCAAACACGCTGATGTTCGTCAGGATTGGTCCAGAGCTGTTCAGTTAGTTCATCTTGCATGAGTCATCAGACGAATCGACAGCCTTGTTTTGATATTTCACAACACGTGCAGATGGGTGACAAATTAAAAGTAAAACCTCCACCCTCGACCTCCACCACGGTGAGGAGATCTGGTGGTTCTGTTTGGGTCTGTTTGTCCCCTGAGAGGGAAGCGGTACTGCAAATCAATGAATGATCACCTTTATCCTATGATCAAACATTTCTGTCCTGATGGGACTCTGATGTGTGAGGCAGCGTTCTCCATCATCAAAACACCAAATGAGAGAATATTCCTCAGGATTAATAGAATTATTATTTTCTGTTTTGGACGAATGGTGTGTCATCCCTACTATTAGAGTTTAGAGACGTGGAGAGCTTTAAAGCTTTTCTGGTGGCATGCAGTGGCGAAGCATCTTCTAAGGACGCTTGAAGTTAGTTTTTCCTATAATTGGTCACCCATCTGTTGTTGTAGCATTACTTCTTTATTCTTTATTTGGATCCCCGTTAGCTTCCACAAGGTGGTTGCGAGTCTTCCTGGGGTCCATTCACAAAACAACATTAAAAATACATCAATGTAAAATCACTGAGTATCAGTGAGACAGCATAATTTAATATCAAGACAAGAAAAGTTTTGGGAAAAAAAAAAATAAATCAAAAATTATCACGGACTCACAGCACCGAGTAAAGAAAATAAAATGCACCAAAAAAAATTTGTTCCAGAACTGCCATAACAAAAATTTACATGTGATTCATCAGTTTGAGTTTTAGTGACTTCTTAAAGGAATATCTATTTTTAATTTGTCTAATGCTGGTAGGGAGCATGTTCCAAACTGAGACCCCTCCATAAAGAACACTTCTCATCATAAGGTTTGTTCGTGGACTTCTGCAATAGACTCCAAATGTGTCCCCCTTATGCTGAATGCAAGTAAACAGGTAAAGAGAATTAATTGAAACCCAAATAAAGAAAGACAGAGAACGTGTCCAGCTGATGTCTGGTAAGGAAAATGTCCCCGAGCTCATGATGATGTCTTTAGACGCTACAAGGGTGCTTTAGTCGTCCAAGAAGTTCTTATCAGACCGGCTGCTCTAGTGGCCTCATGTTGCACTCTTCCAACGATGTGATTATAATCAGATAAGGCCTCTAAAAGTCTCAGGAGTGTTACTCTCAGTTCATCAAGTCCTTCTGTAGTAGTAGTAGTAGGGGTGTTGTTGGGTGTTTTCAAGGTTGGCATCGTGTCATAAAATGTTCGGTTTAGCTTCTGTTAAATTTGTCATTTTCCGTTAATGCTGTCCATCATTTCAACATAACATTTTTTTCCCCCTCTTCCCTTCCACCGGCCTCTGAAATGGCACATTTCACAAGAGTACAAGCATTTTGTATACACACACACACACACACCGAGAGTTTTCATATGCATCACGGCACACACAGATGATCAGTTGTCATGGTAGCGGGCACCTCGAAGCCAACTCTAGCTGAGACTTCCTCCCCTCTGCCTGCTCCACTCAGTGCACTCAGCAGAGGTGACATTCAACCGGAACCGAGAGGAGCCGAGAACTGTGGCGAGGGGACCATCGTCGTGATTTATCTTTCCACCGTTGTTCCACTTTTTTTTGTCCTGCCGCCGCCGCCGCCGCGCACACGTGGCCACAAGCATAAACACGAAGCATAAACCTCCTGAAAACAACATAAACATGCACATTGTTTTCTTGTTTAATCAGGAAACCCAAGAGGGCATAACGACGTAGAATAAATGCATTGCACGTCGACACCTTTGGCAAGTTTTGAATTGTTATTGTACTTTTGAGAATCATTATTTCCACTGTTAAAACTGTATTTAACTTGTCTCAGGAGGAACTGATAGAATCCAGCAGTGACGAAGACGAGTCCGGCCCGTCAGGAGAGAGAAAATCTGGTTCAGTGGTGGACATGGAGGATCTGGGCAACATCATGAACAGCGTCAAGAAAGCAAAGGTCAGATTTATCTCCACCTGCACAGTTACGTCGCTTTCCTTAAACATATGCTCCTTTTTTTTTTATTACGCATGACACCAGTTTCAATTTTCCTCTAGATATAAGTTCACTGATGGGCTTAACGATCATTCAGGCAGGCGCAGCTGAGCGGAGATGTTAATGAGTTGGACGTACAGTACTTAGCCGTCTGCCTCGCAGTATTACAGTTAGGTGCTTGGTGAATCATTTAAACTCATCATCCAGCAGCTCTATTTTCAGCGTTTCCCTGTTAAGGTCCGCAAACCGGCACCGTCGTGGCGTTAAGCTTCCACCACCTTCGTCCCATCTTTTAGTAAAGAGAAGAACTGGTGTAATTGAGGGAGAAATGACAGATGGGTTGATAGACACCAGACCCTGGCAGACGATATGTGGCGGCTTGCGTAATAGCGAGGACGCCCACTTCACAGACTTGAAATGAGTGATTCAAGGAAAGGAGGAAAAAAAATAAAAGGAGGAAGGAGGAGACGTTATCAATCCGCTGCTATAGGCTGTTGTATAAGGACCTGGGCAGAGGAAATGGAAGAAGTATAATGAGGCTGAGCCGAATGCCTCGAGGCTTCTGCCTTTGCTGTGATAATCAACGTCCAAATCAGTTTTCGAATGCTGCATTCTTTTAAAGTTAATATTATATATGCATTACCACAGAAAGTCCGATAATATCCACAGGTGCCAACAAGGTCCTGACCTTTCTGAGAGAAGTTTTTTTTGGTACCGACTTTTTTCCATTAATAAAAGAAACACGAGAACTTAGGCCACGTTTACACATAGTCGGGTATCCACAAAAACGGATCTATGTTTTCAAAAAACAACATTGTTCACACCAGATCGTTTTCCTTTACACAAACCCGCATAAACACGTCGTTAAGAGCTGCCATTAGCAACCCATATGGGGCAGTGTAACGAGAAGCCTAAAGCCATGCTAGCCAATCAGAATCCTGGAAAAAACACAACAACGAAAACTTCCTGTTAGTTCAACGATAATGGCGCAAGGGTCGTTTGTTTGGACCGACAGAGAAGTGGAGCTGCTCCTAAATGTGGTGTTTAGAGGACAAAACGAGTAAAATACTTGAAAATATTGACTGTAAACTTGTCAGTCCAAGTATATGGACGTAGCCAAACTGTAAACATGGGTCGCACACATATGATGCTGATGTGTCGCATTCTGTGACGTCAAACTTCGTCTCCTCCTGTCTACAGGTAAAGATGGAGTTTTTCCAAATCTCCACTTCAGCCTTAGTTTTCAGATATGATCGTTTCCGGTGACTCGTAGCTTCCTTTACGTGTAAACCAAAGGCCCAAACGCATTGAGATATCAGCGTTTTTGCTCTGTCTAAACGGGGCCTTCATGTTTGTTGGGAAGCTTCTTTTTGATGCACCTACTTAAGAGCAGCGCCAAAACATTTTCTGATCTCTGTTCGTCAATATCATGAAGTTTACGTCAGTATCTTTAAGTAACTTTTGTGGATTGAACAATAAGTCTACCATTTGTAAATTTTTAATTATCTCTACCTTCATTATGTTCTGCTCTAAACTTCTTATTTAAACTATTATTATATTTACATTCTGACTTTTGACAAATCAAAATTCAAACGTTTACAGAGGAGGTGATGTTTTTTCTCTTCTGTTTGGGTTTGACAGGTGGGAAATTATTTTGGTGTGCTTTTCAGTAACTCCAGAGAACACCTACAGTATGACATGTTTCTTGTCACTGCAGCTGACGGGAGACTTTCTGGTAGCTAAATATCGTTCTCATGAATTTAAAATTGCTTCGACACAAAGCTCTGCGAGCAGCACTGGATTTCAGATTCACACAGGATTGTCTGTTCTTTAGCGACATTAATATTACAGCGTGTTGTGTATGAACTCTGGGGGGGGGTTCGGACAGGCTACTTTGCAATCCCTACGAAAATGTGTTGATGCGTCACAGATGGAAAGTTAAAGAGACATCAATTGATGACTTGAGGAGCCTGGAAGCATCAGTACTTCTCAGTTCTGTCTGCCACAGTGGCAAGAGCCAGACTCCTTTTTTTAAAAATTTCATGAGGTGTTTTCATTGAGTTTTCATGAGGAAGCCTTGGGTTTCTATTGTCATTCTGTTCCTCGGGGATGTCCCCATGTGTGTTTGTGTTGGCCAAAGGCAACACTACTTAGTCTAACTCGTCTTCTGACACTTAATTATAACTAAATGCTGCGATGACTTGAATCATCACACTTGGACGCGAGGATGTCGGTTTTGTGCCGTTGTCTGTTGTGACAAATTAGGGTTGTTTGTGCATAATTTGGTCACACAGAGCAGGCAGGGCAAGATGTAATTAGTCTGAACATTTGCTATTGCCAAGAGACAACAGGTATTTAGTTAAGGTGCATATGGTGTGAACAAGGAATTGTGACTGGAATATGTTAAGTAGGTAATTTACAGTGTCGAGGCAGCTGAGCTCCAGAAGATTAATGTCCGTTTTCATGCTTCCCAATTAATAACTTAGACTGCTGGAAATTGTGAACGTTGTAAGATTTTTCAAAACTTGTTTTCTAGAGGCTCTCAGCAGCCTTTGTCATGCTTCAGATGCCTCATCATAGCTGCAGGTGGAAGCTCACTCTGGCTGTATTCGACCACTAGGTGATGGCAGAGACTCTCGGATCACTACACAGCAGAACCGCAACATCTGACATCTAATATCACCCTGTCATTTCACTTCCAGAGCTTTTTACGTGAATTCTGTGCAGATTTAATTGCATCTGCAGCCTGTTTGTAACAAAACTGAAGCTACTAAACCTTACTGAATCTGTATTCAGGTGTTTTAAGACATTGAATATTTAGCAAGAAAGTGCAGCTGATCGTTGTTTTGAGCCTGTGAGTCTGTCTGTGGGTTTGTCATCGTGGCGAAATGTGATCCTGGAGACGCAAACTGCAGCAGGAAGTACCACAAAGAAGGTTTTGAGGACTTTGACAGGTTTTTAAGTCTGCCTGGATGTCTCTGGACAGATTTTTTTTCAACAGCCATGCAGTCAGGAAACTTTACATCTTACCAAAGTGTGTATTTTTTATATGGTTTACTATTATTTAACTCTCAAATATTAGCATCTGCCTCAGAAATCTTGTATCAGTTGGGCCTAAACTCTCTTCCTTTAGTTCAGTCTTCAGTCTCTTTTTCTGGATCTTGAATGAACATGTTGTCCTGTCAGTCCAAACAGGTTTGCATGTAGCATTAAATGTTGACATGTCATTAAAGTATAAAGCAGACGAGTGTTTTCTAGCGGTTTTGTATCCCAGACTGAGAACACAAATGTCTTTCACTGAAGAAAAAAAATCGATGTCATACACAGTATTGATCACCGGGTCTTCTCTTGAACTGGGCCACGGCTGTTTTCACTCACTAATGAGTTTCATCGGTTGTGACGTCTGAAGCTCTCGGAGCCATTACACCGAAATAAACATCTGTGTCTAGTTCGTTTCCAGTATAACTACTGAAATGAAGTGTCAGTAGCTGTCTACTTCAGTCACGAATCATCTCCCGCTTGGATAAGTAAGTTACCTCATCCCACCCTAAATGCTTTTTTTTGCCGTCATGACTGTTGGTTGATGGAGACCAACCCATAAAGAGCAGAATCCCGTAGAGTCAAATATGGTACGGATGGATTTGCCTGCATTGATGTCCACGGGGCTCGTAGCCAAGTTGGAATGAGGATGACTGGAACGCTGCTAAACTTCGTGATGAATACATATTTACCACAACTGTTTTTCTTCTAACGTGCCCAGTGATAGACTGGCAGGCGGGCTGTGATTGGCTGCCAGAGTGTAGAGCTCATAGTGCCCACCCTTAATCTATATCAGTCTTTGGCTGTAGTTGCATCTGTATTCTGCCAAGTGCCCGCAAGATTCATTTCCATTGTTGCTCTAATTTATTTTGTGCAAATGCTCATAGCATTGGCATCTAAACTTTGTCATGAGAGGCTTCTGTTTCTGCCAGAGTGGTCCATTTCATGTCGTGGGACCGCTGCCAGATAGGAGTTAGTGTGGAACGGATCATTAACCTGAGCTGCCGCACAGCATTCTTGGCTCAGTTTTGATGTTTTCAGCTCGGTGTCCAGAGGGAGAAGGCAGACATGAGATGCTACTCTGACTTAAAGGGCTGTTGTATAACCTCACAAATCTAGTGTTGGCATGGATTAAAATGATTGGATTCTGCTGAAGACCTGTTTGGCTTTGCCCATCTTTATTTACGCCAAAATTAAAGCAGGTCATCAGTTTGTATACCGGCCACATATCACCTGCGTTAGGTGACAAAACATACTTTCATTACTTAAAATAAAAAATAAAACACATCTTTAGGAAAAAGGTGCTTTAGCTAAGTGAAACCAGTGGTGCAGTTTGTGGTTATATATTAGTTTGTGTTGTACTGCAAGTCATTTCTGATATTTACATATTTAGAAATATTAGAAACAGCTCAGAAAAAGCTGTTTGTTCAATCAGTTTTATTGTGTCAGCACCTCTATGTCTACACCTGTTATTAATACTAGCAATGGTAGAACTTATTACAGGAAGCATATTGCATTTTTAAACAGACATGACTAATTTACTTAATGTTCACTGAAACGTAAATGTGCACCTATTTTACTGCAGAACTGGGCCAAGCTTCTTTTTTTTTTTTTAAAGACTGTAAGTTTAATCTTGCAAATACATCATTCGTTTCCTGTCCTCTTGGGTTTCTGGTTCGGCTGACTCTCCGCTTCTTTCTGCTTTACATTCGTTTATGTTTTTTTCCTCCGATCACATGCTTTCTCTGTGTGTTATCGCTGCACTGTCCGTCTGCATCAGCCCCATGTTGTGTCAAGGTTCCAGAGCACAACACGGTGCTGTGAGATGTCCCAGTTCTGTTAGTCCAGACAGGCCCGGGCATGACTGGATGTACTTGAGCTCTCAAGCGATTGTGAAAGCCAAGCAGTGGGTACCAGAGACTGGGGCCGGGTAAATCGCCAGGGCTGCACGCAAACACCACGGGGACAGATTGTTTCACCGTCGGCTATGTGTTTTGTATGCTGTCAGAATGGTACATGTCACGGATGCATTAAGTGCAGGTGGACATTTGTGCTGGCTGAGAGCGGCAAACTAGTCTTATTCCATTCTGAGCTTTAAAATTGCTTGCTACGCAGTTTTCGCCTCCAATTTATATATCTGGCAAATCTCAGTAGCTGCTTGAGCCGCATCCTCCTGATGACTGTACCAGGGGGTGGCAGATGCTTTCCCTGACTTACTGTGTGTGTGTGTGTGTGTGTGTGTGTGTTTGGGTTACCGTACTGGATTATAATATCCTTTAAACCACACAAAGTAAAACAGCATTCCACTTAATTTGCACAGATATAAATTACATCTGCAAATACTATCCAGCACAACAGCGAATCCTTCTCCGTCTTAGAAAGAGATGTAGGAATATTCTGACACAGCATGATGACTTACTTATTCACAGCATCCCCTGTCAGAAAAGGAATGGCTCGGCCGAGCGACTGCAGCTGCTGTCAGGAGTGAAGAACCTCTAATATTAATGGTGGGCACAGAGCAGACAATGCTGCTGGGTAGCTACAAGGGGCTCAGATTCTTTGATTTCGAAGGTGAAAGTACAACATTTTAGGATTATCATGCAGCAGAGGCGGATTCTGAACACCTGAGGCCCTGTTTGGATACACAGACAGAGCATTGGATGTGTATTTAATAGTTTATGTCGGGGTCTGGTCAGTTCTAAGTGATGCTTGGTGGAGAGCCAAAAGCAGTTCAAGTATGCGTTTACAGTATTTTGACATAATGGTAAGTGTATGCAGCATGTGGTCGTCGGGTAATCTGACAGTTGTTTTCTTTATTCATCAGTTTATCATTTGGTCTTTGAAATGTAAGACAATAGTAGAAAGTCCATCACAATGTCCCCATCTTTATTTCTCCATCCAGAACCCAAAGAAATTATTGTCAATATAAAGCTGAGAAAAGCACAAACGCTTCACAATTAAAGCTGCTGAATTCTGGAAAGTCAGAATTTGATGATGTACAGCCCTCCTCCTCCTCCTGCAGCTCTCTGTCTCCCCTCTTTCTCTGCATTCACAATCTTGCAAAAATAGTCAAGCTAAATGTCAACATTCATTAATTTCTGGTTCCATCTGGGATTCGTACTCAAAAGTCCTCCACCTAACTCCTCCTGACACCACATCCTTTTCTCCCTTTGCTATTTATACCGTTTGCTTTGGCCGGCGAGAAGCCCTGTGATTGGTTTAAATCTCCCGTCATGGGCTGGATTTTCTAAAGCCTAAAAAAGGAGTCGAGAGAATCCACAGAACTCTCCCAGACCACTTGAACTACAATATGCTGAATGGTTACTTGGAATTTTTTGCCCCCAAAATACTGCCTACCTCAGCTTTAATCAGAATTTCAAATATTTGCAAGTTCATTTTTTGTAAAATAAGATATAAAACTTTGCTTATCCCAAAGGAAAATCTTGTGCCGGATCTTGCTCAGAAAAAAAAGCAAACAAAAAATAAGAAATGCAGCGCTTAAAGTCGAAAAGCAATAAGATATAAGTACATGAAACAAGTAAAATAAGGCTAGACGAGAAGAGTAAAAAAAAAAAAAAAAAATGCTGGCAATTATACTGAGGTTGTTTTCTACTAATTATTTCTCCCCGATGCAGATTTGCATTTAACATACCAAAAGGTAATATTGAGCTTTTTTCACTGCCCCCAAGTGACCAAAACAATCAGTGTTGTCGGGTTTTTTTTGCAAAGAGTAACCTTCTAATTCAGAAAGCCTTGAGGGATCACAGACTCTAAACACATAGATCCAGGGGGAATTATTCAGAAAAGATGGAAATGGCGACTATTAGAGGGCGCATTGATTTTCAGTAAATCTGGATGATGTTCTCTCCGCTTTAAATTGAGTAGTGATCACACTGTGTTAGCCGAAGCACTCAGAGCTCATTTACCCAGTGTAGCATTTACGTCTGTGCAGCCCTGTGAACAATGGTCAGCGCCCTACAGCGAGCTGCACGGGAATCAGCGAACTCTCTCAGTTCCTCTGTAATGTACACTCCACTGTTTGAACATTGATCAACGCTTGCTGACAGAGTATCAGCGCCGTATGCTCCGACAAGGTGACATATAGATGTCTGTACGCGAGCTGAAGAAGTGGCAGCGGTGCATTAATTGGGTGGAGGTGTCGTTTGACATGGTTAATCTCAAAGGCAGGTCATCCGTCACACCTTTCTGAAAAGTAATACCTGTTCCCATGCCCCGGGCAACTTTTTTTTTGCAGTGTTTAATCAATCTTCTGTTGCATCCGTACGCAGCGTATCTGTAAGATTTTTAGCTTTATGTACCGATGCTGTACACTGCAGTAATATAATCCTGGCCTGAGAGAAGTTGTTAATCCCTCAAACAAATGTGATGCAGCAGCAGTTGTGACCAAGTCCAACATTTATTTTGTTGCTCTATAGACCTTTTGTTGTGTTTTAGTGGGGCCTAAAACACAAAATTATTATATACTGTCGAGACATGATGCTGCACCTTTTAATCAAGAGTCCAGGCAGTCATGGAGAAATTACACATTTCATACATTTTTGCGCTCAAGAAAAAAGTAAATTCAACACTTGTGCCAAATTTGTGCATCCTTCTGCTGTGATGTGTCGGGTTTATCTTCACTCATTATCCTTAAATTGGATCATTAGAACTTGTAAGGCAGGTCAAGAATGAGGAAGTAACAGCTAAGTTTAGGATATTCTCTTCAGACCTTTGTGGCAGCACTCAACAGCCACGAACGGAACTGTGGATTTGATAATGAAGCTAATTGATGCCCACAAAACAGGGGAAAGCTTTAGAAAAAATCGTAGAATGTACAAAACATGGACGTAGCTACCATGACGTCACCCGTTGGTTTCTGCACTGAGAAAATGAAGCCAGGGTTTCGCTACTTCCTGGTTGACATCTTGGATTTTTAGAGCCAGTGATGCAAAAATCGTCGAAGGGGGGCGGAGCCATAGGAGCAGCGATTGGTCAGACGGATTGAGAGGCGGGCCCTCTCTGCCCCGCCCACATTTACCGCCTTCTGCTCGCAATCAAGCCAGCCACGCCCCTTGCCCCCCAAAATGATCACTTCTTTTCCAATTCTTGTCTATGGGAGCCAGGGCTTTTTGGAGCCAGCAGCTAGTGGACGTAGTGATACTGCAGGTTTTTGACACTTCCAGGTTGGCTTCATTTTTCAGAGCCGGTTGCTACGTCCATCTTTTATACAGTCTATGGAAAAAATCAAAGCACTTTCAGCTCTCAACCACTATCTGAAATGTCTCACGAATGGTAGTTAGGGGACCTGTGGAAGTCTAGAAAACATCTGTAAGACTGCAGCGCCCCCTCTGCCAAGGATATGCAGAAAGGCTTAACGGTGCATCGTTCTGCTGTGCAGAGTTTATGCATGAGGAGGGTCATAAGGAGAAAACCTTACCTGAGACTCATCACAAGTGTGTGAAGACTGCAGCTGGAAACAGGTGCTGTCCACAGATGAAGTTCAAGTTTAGGATTTTGGTCTCAAGCACTAAATGTTTGAAGAAAGGAAGATGCTAAACAAGACCTTGCCAATGCTGTCCAACTGTGGCATCAACATCACTAAATGAAAACTTGCTGAAGTTACAGACTTTCCTAACTTTGAGTTGCATCCTACTGCAGTTTCATTAGTATTGGCATTTCATGACTTAAAGAAGATTTATTGCTGTGGCAGTTGTGATTAATGGGCAGGTAGCAGAGCAGAGTGTGTAGTGTCATATTTCCGACCTCTTTAGTGTTGTGTTTACAAGTACACAATTGATGCCGAAGTATATTTGTTATGCTTAACAAAGCTTGAAGCACTGGAGTGTCTGTGCAGTAGCTGCAGTGGTGTCATTTGCAGTGTTCTAAGCAGCCTTTGAATATTTCTCTGTTTCAAGCCTGCAGGTCGTAGTTTGTTTGTTCTGTTCTTGTTTGATGTCTTTCAGAAATTATGTCTTTAGGTGTCCCCAAGTGTCCTTGTGAAGTAAATTATTGGCATCTAGCCGCGCTGTTGAATATTCAGTGTTTATCGTTGACTGAAACACTGTTTGATCTATATTTTTTTTCTACAACATTAGCTGAATTTTATTGTTTTCCCGAATGTAAAATTTATAACACCATAAATTTTGTCATCTAGAGCGTTTTAGGTGCCAGCTGCCATTCTCGACCAAATTTTTACGCCACAACGGCTGTAAACAACAACGGACTGAAAGTTTTGTTCCTGCCGCAGGGTAAAGGGGAGCTTCAAGGAGACGGCCAGATGGTGAAGCTGTCCAAACTGAACGGAGTGAAGAAGGCCGAAGATGAAGAGGAGAGACGAGAGATGATCACCCCGGCCCTCAGAGAAGCACTCACAAAGCAAGGTGAGGAAAGGCGGATTTCACTTACAAAAGCAGACCGTAAAACAAATTTAAAGTTGACACCAGATTGTTAACTAACAGACTCGAATGTTGTGACTCTTTGACTTCTTTGTGTAAAACTGTGTCGCCCTTTTTAAAAGAACATCTGGTGGGTGTCAATGGTGAGTGTGGATAATATATTCATATTATGTAGCTGCATTGCAATAAAAAAATCACATTACAGACCGAGCAGCACCAGCTGTTTGTCAGCATGTTTAACCTTTTTCTTGTCTCAAGGGCAGCAAAGTTGTAAATCACATAAATCATGAAATATACCCACCCCCTTTTTTCTTGTAGTTTTAGCAGTAAATCTAACAAATATCCACAAATTGTCAACAGAGGGGTCGTTTTCTCGCTGATAAGTTTCCCCGTTACCAAAGTCACTGGCAGAGGTGTCCATGTTCTCCAACTCAACGTACCTCAAGTGCATAACAATGCTGTAATTCATTAAACGACCTCAAACGGCTGTTAATCTAACTCACACAGAGCAGAAAAAAAGCAACCCATTGAACCCTCGAGTTAGTTTTCAGTTAATCAGGTGCTGAAATTGCATCTTGTTCCAACGTTTCCCCTGAGAGAGAATTGTATTTAAAGTTGGTCAAAGGGGCTACGTGAGGAGAAGCGTAAAGGTGGAATAACGTGTAATCTAATGGCACTTAATGATGCGGCGCATTCAATACCTGACTGGTGAAGGAAACGTCTTATTGCACTGGTACGAAAATGAGACCTCTTTTAATGGAAAGATTATCTTCATTTGAGGACCAGATATTAAGTCACAGAAACATCTGTGATCGCAAACGGTGACTCGAACGTGCAGCAGTTATCACTTTCAACCCAGTATTTTTTTTAATATTGGATGTGAGGCTTAAATCGAGTTAAAAAGATTATCTGGGGAAATACTAAAAGAATAGACTGTGAGAGGTTTGTCTGCTGCTGAATCTGAAGTGTAGCTCTGTCTGAATGCGTGACATTTAATTTAGCTCAATGTTTATATGATTAGGTTGCACCCTGCACTTTGGGAAATTGATGCCGTCTCTCGTGAAGCCAGAGAATCTCGATTGTTGACACATTGGGTCAATCTGAAGCATTTTACTATTTTACTCCTTTACTGTTCTGTCCACAAGTCCATTCACTCGTGCAGCACGGGCTGGTCATTTCCAGCCAAACACCCCCCACCGTTAGCTTACACAACACTCTATAAATAGGACTCTGTGAGCAAGACTTCACTTCATTTGACCAAATGTTGACCTATTTCATGGTGTTTATGTTGGCAACAGTCTGTCCTGGTGGGCAGTTTGTTTTATTTGATATAAAAGAAAGAAGGATGAAAGTTTTGGCATTGTTTTAATGGTATTCATTCTTGGAAGGCTGTGTTTCCTGTTTAGTCTTTTTCTGGCATGGCATGGATGCAAATGTCACACTGCTGAAACCCCAGTGCAGCGTCCAAGAAAGTTTTAATGTAGCGCCGCACATTCTTAAGAAATAGTTTGCTGTCGATGATCCTCTGCACCTATTTTCAACAAAGGAAATAGCAGCAGAGAAACCAGTCAGTCAGTCAAAGGCACAGGTTTAGATTTGGAAAGGACTTAAGAATTTGAGATCACAAGAAGCTGGTGTCATCTGTGTGCAGCTCAGTAATTAAAGTCAGCTTCATGCTGTTTGGTTCTGCCTCAAGGTTCTACCAGGTCACTTCTTCCTAAAGATCTAAGGACCCTAATGAGTTTATCTCCTTCAAATATGAAATGTTCTCTTGCTTTGATTGAAATGATCTGAGGTTGATATATTCCCCTGAGAACACGTATCTTATCTACTGCAAAAATGAGTTTGCGTTTAATGTAGGACCTTTTTAGGGCACATTTGCCCCAAACAATGTCGAGTTTTGTTGTTCCATTATAACTATAGGTGGTCATAAACACCAGAAAACAATAGTACAGGATCAACAATGTGAAGCTAAGAAGCAAATGAATCCCCTACCAAGTCTTTTTTGTGAGCAGGGGTGTCGTAGTTATATTAGACATGAATCAGAGTTTTGAGTGAGACAATATCTAAGATGATAAGCTGAGAACGTGTGGCAAAAAACAGTTAAAAATCTTATTTCACATCAGAATTTTCACTCTAATGCATAAAAGTGCAGCTAAAACAGTAAAAAAAAAGATTCTTGTCCCGTGTCTTTTTCATTACTTTTTGCAAGATCCTGGATAAGAAGCTGCAAACTCCTCCAAACATTCTAAGCAGCTTATTAAACATCGTCTTCCTGCTCATTTTATTTACCCCGGCAGCTGAGAGCAGATTACAGACCATCACGCATTTAAGTGTAGTTTGTTTCCAGAATCGTCAATAGAATTGTAACCAAATAACTTCTGTTCAGCAGCCGTTTGCAGCAGCAGGCTGCATGTAAGCCTCCTGTTAATTAGCTGTGGTGGCAAATTAAAGTCCTCTTTAAAGAGCTGGTTGACAAAGCAGCTGTCACTGATTTAGGTCTTTCAGTCTGTTTGTTTACGTTTGATATGCCGTTTTATTTTTAAATTAGAGCGATGTTGTCTTTCGAAGAATCACTATGAGATGTGGTGGTTTCTTGAGAATTTGTCTGGTAGAATGTAAATTTTAGGATTGCACATTTTCAATGAATTATGTTGCCTCACAGGCACTGCACAGAAACACATGCATGGTAATTAATATCTGTGCCTGTGCAGATGAACTCTGTTACGATGCCTCCAGGTGAAAGTCTTGGCTGGTTTAGCTCTGTTTCAGAGGCTTTGTCTCCACTAGAACTTCAAAGGACGTGGAAGGCCTTAAATTCACAAGATGAGAAAGAAACATTGCTCACTTTAAAATAATTAATAGTTAAACTAGAAGGCCACTCAGAGAGCGCATACTCCGCCAAGGCCAGTGCCTTATCTTGCAATTTTTGGTATTATTAAAAAATGATCCGGATCTGCGCCAAAGTTAATGGGCTCTTTCCTTTCCCGTGCTCCACCTCTCCACCAAGCTTCGTGAAATTTGACTTGGTAATTCTTAAGTAATCTTGCTGGAAAAAAACTATTAGGTGCTGGTCAGCATGTTTTTGTTCCAAAGTGCAAAAGGAACATCAAACATTCGGTGTTTAAGAAAAAAGAAAATAAATTCTGTGTGTGTGTCGCTTTGTGTTTGTGCTTTTGTAGTTGGTGTTCTTTTTCTACGCACCAGAAGACTATCCTTGATCAGTGGCAAGCTGTCTCATTGAAGTATTACATCAAAAAAATGAGCATTTTCACCACTCAGCCTTCTCTACAAATATATTCATGAGCCTTGATGAATAACATTCACATTTGACTCATCTATCATCAATCCCGGGATCTGTGGAAGCAGGTAGCGCTCATGCACACCTTGGCACAAACGCCCTGCTGTGTTTTTAGGTTTATCACGTGCAGTTGCGCTTAATAGCAGGTAAAACACATACAAGCTTCCAAAATAAGAAGTTTATCTCCTCAAGTCCACATCAGACTGCAGTGCTGCTTCTTGGCTTACTGGGAGGCCACATTAAATCACTTCAAAAGTCATAAATCCCTTCTAGGATTTCTTGAGTACGTTACCTGTTAAAAGTATTCTCTATGGCAGATATCACAGTGGAGGATATAGAGAGAAGAGAAAGAGAGAAGCCTGCATGGACTCATCCAAACGTGGCCGTTTGAAGCCTTAGTAATAAGAGGATAGAGAGGCACACCTGTGAGAAAAGTGCATTTGAAGCACTTGATCCTCCTTTTGTGCCAAAAAAAAAGGGAATGAGAAACGCTCGTCCTGCCTTTCTACATTTGAGCAGCCGTGAGACACTGTGTTGGAGACGTTCAGTAGCCTTTAGCAGAGGACTGTGAATGAGCAGGGTTTTGTAAATGTTGAGCTGGGTTTCATTGACTCCCCAAAGATAACGTAGCGTCCACCCTTGTGTCTGCTGAATCAGTGGTTCTGAATCAAAAAGCTGTTTACTGATGAAAACCTTATTCTTCACACGTTGTTCTTTATCTTTCTGTGCAGGATATAAACTAATTGGAAGTCACTCAGGAGTGAAGCTTTGCCGATGGACTAAGGTAATTTGCCCTTCCTAATAGATCAATACGTTTCTTTGGTAACTTTATTTCCTAAATGTAGAATACGACCGTCTGACGAGCTCAGCGCATGACTCTCAATGTTGTTTCTCTTGGTTAGTCTATGTTACGTGGGAGAGGAGGCTGTTACAAGCACACTTTCTACGGCATCGAGTCCCACCGGTGCATGGAGACTACGCCCAGCCTCGCCTGTGCCAACAAGTGTGTCTTCTGCTGGAGGTGCGTACCGGTCGGTTGTCAGTAATCATCACTGAGGAGAAATTTAATTGGCTTTTTTTCTATTAATTTCACTTGCCACCAACATAGACGCCGCAAAAGTTAGACAGACTTGTGTAAACTTTAAAGAAGTTACCAGATGATTCCCATCACTTAATTTGTTCATTGATTATTGCCTGATTATTACATACAGTGTCTTAGAGCTGCACTAGAACAGACTTAACTCCAGCTTTTTGGTATGTTTTGAATGTTTATTTAGCTGTATAATGATTTAATTAACCCAGGTGATGCGAGATATTCTGCTGCCCCATTATCTAGAACTTTAATTTTTTTAATAAAGGTTGCGTTTTTCAGTGTATATGTTTACTTGAAGAGCAGTGGAACCTACCACAAGATGGAAGAGAACTTAGTTGCATAGCATTAAGGGACTGTTGTCTTGACGCTTTGTTTTTCTCCTCAGCTGAACCCAACTTGTTTACTTCATTACTCCCTGTCGCTGAGTGAAGATCTCATTGTGGCAAACAAGTTAATGATTCATGTGCAGAAGAGTAATGGCCGGCGTTGCTGCGAGGCCTAAATACGGACACTGATTCATCGTGACATCAGTGAAAGATTGGACCTTTTTCTCCCCTTAAGTTCCATTTGAGGAGGCGACTCTGTTGAGCACTGAAAGGTCGCTGTCAGAATGTGCAGCGGTGAACTGCTTCCCTGTCATCACAGATATGCCAGTCTCTCTCAAGGCAGCTATGTGGGATGACAGGAAATAAGCAATTTCAGGGCACAGACGCATTGTCGCCGCTGCCCTCGCCATCCATCTCTCTGTGGCAACAGGTGGAGTTAGATTTGTACGGGCAGCGGCGGTGCATGCGATGTTAGCGTCTGCATATGCATGCGACAGACTGTCTGAATATTGTGATGCCTCAGGATTTGTTATTGCACATAGACATCACACTTGGACAGTTAGAAGGTGTTATTAGCACCCAGAGGAGGAGCAGTTTTTGACAGTGGCATGCATTCTTCCACTTAATATGTTTATAGGGTGAGAATACACACACCCACATAATTCACTTTCAGCTTGTGAATAAACATCTTCGGTCTTAATATGTGTCACCTTTTTAGATAAAAGCTCCTCTGATTCAAGTAAAATATGTTTTTTGTGCTGGTCAAAATGTATTTGTGTTAAATGAGCGCAGGCTAATGGCCCAAGTCGGTCTGCGTGAGAGTCATACCTTTGAGCAATGCTGCTTGTCAGTTGATTCCATAGGCGTCATATAAAGATGGATGTAGTGATGTGTGACGCTCATGTCTGTGCTCCACGAACAGACATCACACCAACCCTGTGGGCACAGAGTGGCGCTGGAAAATGGACCCCGCAGAGAAAATCCTGCAGGACGCCGTGGAGAAGCACCAGACCATGATCCGACAGTTTAGAGGTTGGTGTTTGACCAGGTCACGCATGCAAATTCTGTTCTGTTTTTCTCACTCTGTCTGGCTATTGCTTGATTTATTCACTTGTTGCACTGCTAGGTGTACAGCAGAACATGCACACAATAGCACCCACAATCCTGTTTTTTGTCATGCACAATTTGCCTTCTTGCTATTCTCAGTTTACTGCTTATGACCTTTTGCAACTTAGCGTGTAATGACGCAGAGTGAAGGTTAAAATTCTGATGTTCTGTCTGCTGTTTCGTCATGCAGTTGCAGCGCCACCTCATAAATCACTTCTAAACTGCCACACACACAGCTTAATGCACCCATCTGGTACCTCCAGTACCTATAGTGAGTGTGTAATGGTTATATATAGAAGAATTACATCTGTCCCTACCTCCAGTTTTTCGGGCTCCATTTGTACTACTTGTACTAACACTGCTGGCATTTGGGACTTTTTCTCTGGCAGATCCCAGCGTTGGCTGAGTACGGCTGGTTGGCCGCCTGAAGCTCAGTCAAAACAGAATTTAGTGATCATCCTGTGAGAGTGCCCTAAGCAGATTTTCCTTGAGAGGTTTTTGAGAAATGTTGTCTAAACATGCTGGTGACACATTTCTTAGGCATTTATTAAAGTAAACAAGCCCTGTTTGGGAAATTATTTGTATTTCAGATGGATTTAAAGGTTTTAAGCGAGCTCTTTGCCAGATTAGAATTAGTACTTAGTTGAGGTTTAACTACTGCATCTCAGGCTGCGACCTCTGTTTAGTATTGCTGTCGATAAATCCGTCCTTATGTTTCAGTGAAGCAATAAATCATTTCAAAAAGGCAACGACATTCAGTTTACAATCATATAAATCCTCACAGTTGAGGAGCTGTAATGAATGTTTTTGCTAGATGATAGATTATGAATATTTAATAGTCCAAATTTGTATCTATTGTGTGTTTGGTTTTTGTTGTGACATGTACAAAGGTTTGCTCACACAGGATCAATACATTTCTCAGTCGTGTTTTATGTTGAGCGTCTCGCACTTGAGCATCAGCTGCAGTGGAGAAGTAAGTTCTTACTCTGCCTCTCTGCGAATTGCACTGTTCATTATTTGACACGACTGTGGCTGTGCAGCCTGTTGAGACTCTGAACTAATTTAGCCTACCGACCCTTGTCGGCGTAGCCTCGCACGCACGTAAAGACTATTCCCGTCAAGCCCAAACTCAATTTGCCAAACTGTCTTCTTTCCAGCTCAGCTCGTTGTTGGTTTCTTTTCTGTTTTTGGTTTAACTCAAACTTAAGTCTGCACCAGCGCTTTCCCTCAGGATCATTTCATGCTGGCACCATGGCCTACTTTAAATATGTCACTTATAATGCAGATCGTTACATTATATTACATTATACATAAATATATGAAATCCCCAGAACATTCACATCAAAGATCAATCAACTCACATGCACGAGCGTTTCACCAGCCAAGTCGTCTTAAGACCTGGCTTCATCCTGACTGTCAGAACGCTGCCTCTTTAACCTCAAAGCTGCTGCTGATCCCATTATAAAACAGAGAAGCCATTGTACTCAGGAAATGGTATAAACGCCAAATGTGAAAAGCGTCTGAGACGTATCTTCTTCAAAGGGCTACTTTATAGGTAATAACATTCTCAGAGCAGTTATTCAGGATGTATTGTAATGCGCGTCATCGTAGACTGTGTAATTTCCTGAGGCAGTTGTAATGGAACAATAACTCAAATTTGGTTATGTTGACAGGAGGCTTTCATAAGTCACTTAGAGTAAAAAAAAAAAAAAAGTATTTGTCTCATAAAGGATGACAGCATATAAGGAAAACTTCAGCTGTTTTTCCTAAACAAAGCTTTCTAATTAGAACCACACTGCAGCACTAGGCACACGCCTTTATTGTCATCATCATCCATAATCTTCTTTCCAGTTGCACTATAAAATCAGATTATGCAGCCTTCAACTCCATTTACAATTGACAGTGATACGCTTTACTCTGCTTAACACAATGGACTATCCAGACAATGCCTCGAAAAACCCTTCAGTGTGCTTCAACAGGTTAGTGCCTTATGGTCTGCTGCATAAACTATCTTATCAAAATAGCAGTTTTAACTGTCCTGCAGCAGCTTATGATTGAAGCTATTTGTCACTGCTGCGTTTTGCATTCGTCAATACTTACAATGTAATGCAGTTTGTGCTCCTTGTTGGCAGCTGGCAGTCCCACATGAGTCTGTACTCCAGGCGTTTGTGGTACAACTCACACGAGGCTACTGTATGTCACTGTGCAGTACATTTGCACATCAGAGAGAAGCTTGGTGATATTCTGACTTTGGTAGCGAGCGCATGAATTAAATATTTTGTTGTGAGATTATTTTAGCAACAATAACACAGCACTTTTGGTTTTTGAAATGGCTCACTCCAGTCATGCATGCTGCACTTCTGCTGTGCACCCGTTTCATCCCAGCCCCTACGCTATGTTTGATTTTACCAACCAAAAGCATTGAGCGGCCATCAAACAATGCCGTCTGTGTGTTTCCCAAAGAAGTCTGCAAAGATAGCCTCAGGATATTATTAAGATAGTGAG